TTTTATTCTTGAACCCCCACCTCTCTCTCTCTCTCTCTCTCTCTCTCTCTCTCTCTGTCACTGTCTATAATGCACTTTGACAACACACAAATCACTGGAGTGGTTTCCCAGCAACAGGAGGGAGGGTTTGGGGTTTTGGACCCTGATGGAGCCAAAAACGTCTTCCAGGAGAGGAAATTGATTCAGTGGAAGTCTTAAAAAAATCCTTCAGATCCAGTCAATAATCACCCCCAGATAAAAAGGGGAGAAGGGGTGTATGTGTGGGGTGGGGGGTGGGGGGGGGGCATTGATTATCCTTGTTTTCTGCTACTCAGTACATGCAGGCAGTAAAATCAAGAGCTGGGAGACAGCCAGTGAAACAGCACGACAGTCTGATGAAAGACAGTGGTGCTTTAGGCTTGTGGTCAGAAATCAAAGTGTCCCCTCTCATCTCTCCCTGCTCTACCCTCTCTCAGTAGGAACCATGTTTTCCTCTCCCAACCACTCCCTCCAGCCCACATTCGTTTCTCTCTGCCTCCCCCCTGTGGCCACTAATGGTCACGGCAGCTCTTTTAGCTATCAGTAAATGGGAACTGTCACTGACTGTTTTGCTTTTACAGGGTTTATACATTTAACTATGCTTTGCTGTTAGTTAGTATTAATCCTTTGCAGATTATTAATAATCTCTTATGACGTGGATTAATATAAGGCTTCGAGTTGCAAGGTTGTGAACGCAATGTTTAAAAAAGGATCCTATTTTAAAAATATTAGATATTATGTGCCTCGTAGTTTGTCAACCTGGTGTTTTTTAATGTATGCACTCTAACAGCTTTCTATTTAAAAAAGCATTAGTAAATTATTTGTATCAGTCATGACACTTTACAAACCCTATGCCCAACGGTCAAGTGGTACATGAAATATAACTTGATCTTGAATAGTGTAAAGCAATGATTCTCAACCTGGGGGTCGGGACGCACACTAAGGTTTGCCAAAGCATCATGTGGGGGTCACGAGGCCTTCTTGATAAGAGGGGTGTAAGAACAAAATATACACAGTTGGCCTATGTCCAGCCTATTAAGTGACAAATCATTCAGAATTGTATTTAAAAAAAAAAAACCTCCTCTCTGATGCAATATTCAGAGGACATAATCTGCACAAAATTCATCCAAATCACTGGTTTTACAGAAACTTCCTGCAGTTACTGCTCGCTGTTTGGGTTCATTGTGCTGTTCATCAGTTGTTTACATTGTTATTGTTATGCATTAAATATAATATGAAATATCCATAAAATGCATCACTAACTCAGGGGTCATTTGTTTACTCTATAGAAAAGGGGTCCCTTACAGAAAAACTGCTGTACAGAAGACTGTAAGAACTACAATAGTCCAACAAGGAAGACACAGAGAATGTCCTACAGTACTTGGAAAATTAATATGAAACTATTCTTAGTTCTTCCCTCACTACACGAATAGACGTTTTGCTTTAGTTTTAGGTGAATGAGTGAAACCCTGTAGAAAATACAGCCTCTAAAGCTGTTCAAGAAATATGAACAGTAGTTCATATTAAACAGTGCTGTTAGAAACCGACATGACATTAAACTAAAAGAATGTGAATACAGTGTAATAAACTTGACATGCAGCTTTGAGATTATAAATTCCATTTTAAATTTGCCATGAGGTGTTGCTCCTCAGTTTCCAACTATAACTCAGCCAGCAGCTTACAGGTTACACGGGTCTTGCATGCAGACATTGGCACACTGTAAACTGAGGCCCGAGGGCAACATGTCAATCACCCGCACAGCTGTAGGCTGAACTGAAGGTGGAAAAATACACTTCACTGGCATCCAGGTACAGTTAGTCATACTATTTAATCCCTTCCACAGATTCACTTGAAACACTTTGGGCCAGTTTACAGAACAAATTCAGTCCAATTAAGCTAGCAGACGACCTACCTGTAACTCCCGCTCTTTCTCTGTCCGTGAAGCTCCAGGAAAACTACAGGGCGGGTTTCATTGAGGAGCCAGGTGATGTCGGGTGTCACAGTGTTGAAGTTCCTACTATTATCACTGAACAAACCAACCCTCACGTTTAAACGTACTATAAGCAGCCTCCTGTATCTTTTTTTCCTCAAAATGTCAAATATTTCGTTTCCATCTTGCTCCCTCTGGTGGTGACGCAGCTCATTTAGGGGGCCTGTCAGTGCGTCTGCGCAGACTCTCTGATTCCACCTGAGACCTGCAGTCTCTTCAGGACCTGGCGCTCATCACTGTTAAATGTGACAATAGAAGACTGGGCTTTTTTCAGCAAATGGAGATTCTGGAGGAATAGGAATTCCCTCTAAAGATTTATTAACCTTTCACAATTTTTTTTATCAGAAAATAACTGAGGATATCTGTTGAATTTCCCTCTGGATAAATAAAGTATCTATCGTATCTATCTATGCTATCTATCTATCTATCCTATCAGTCTATCTATCTATCTATGTTCTGGAGACAGTTAGCTTCCTATATTAGAACAGTAATTATAGGTGTCATATTTTTTGCAAAAACAGCATTTTCTCATGTCCTGATAACAATCTTATATCTTAAATTAAAACTTTATATTTTAAATTAAAATACAGGTTGTAACCACGTCAACTGATTAGCATAACCCATACAATGTTGTCTTATATTCCTACAGGCCTGCTTAATACGCCTCTTTAAGACACAAACGATTTTATTCCAAAAGAATTATGCATGTCTCATCATGACCTCAGAGAGCTGTGACTCTGTGCTCCCTCTGTCTCTCGTTGGACGTGGACGTTGGTCTGCTAGTGATGCATCTTGGATCTCTCAGGCCCCGTCTCCTCCAGCGGCTGTGTTTCTTGCAGAAGCGTTTGTGGTTTCTGTAATAACTCTCTGTGGTTGTCTTTGAGTGTTTCAGCTCATCACTCAGTGTGCGAGTGCTGCAGTTCTGCTCCAGTATTTTCTTGGTTTCTCTGTGGGAGTCAGTGCTTGATGGCTCCTCCTGCTCTAGCTCTTGCTCCCAGACATCCTGCAGCAGGTAGGCGCCCAGTCGTTCAGGGAGTCCATATGTGGAGGGACTGGGAGCTTCAAATGATGATGTTGAAGGCACGCAGATCTTGGAGGCCACGGTCTTTCCAGGAAACAACACGTTCCTGCCCTCCTCACATGCAGCTGGACCATAAGCTTTTAAAATCATACACCGTTGACAATGACACTCAGGAAAATGTGCGAGTTCTGTCAAAGTCTTTCATGTCATAGTAAAGGATATTTCACAAATCAGATGCTCAGCAGTTACCTTTCTTTCTCTCTTTTGGTTTCATCTGTTCTTTAGGAGTAGACATTGTGTCATCCAGAGTAGTTTGGGCTATGTTACCAGCTGGTGACATTCACATGGGCAGTATCATTTAAATAATAACGCATGTATATGTTATTTTTTAAACTTGTATGCCTTTATCAAATTTTTCCTGAAAGTATTATACATAAACTTAATATTTATTTATTTAGAAAAAAACATACATTTGAATAATTTGTCATCTTCAGCCCAAGTGACACACTTTTGAAAGAATGTATGGATTTGTCAAAAACTTAACTGAGCACAACTTAAATAATTAGTTCAGTACTGAGGGTACTGACAACATTTATACTAACTTTTACTGTGGTTATACTGTTTTCATAATTATGAGTAAAAAACAACCATGACTTACGTTAACATGTACGCTGTCTTTAACAGCAGGCTTTCGATCATGTGTCTTTTCTTCAATCTACGAAAAAGAAGGATCTCTGGAGAGTTTTAATTAGTGTGCTAATATGTTGATCATGTTTCTTTGAAAATTAGTCAGCTCCCGTCAGCATATTTAACTTATGATTTAAAGTCAAAAGTCAGATGAACTTGTGTTTGTGCTGAAATTGTCTGAAAACTATAACTGTGTAATTCACCTACAATTAATTAAGCTTACATATTTACATTAAGTAAATGACAAAAGACTAGTTGAAGCTGCTGCACAAAGTTTTACAGTTAATCCAAATTCTGACACAAACATTAAATAAGCTCCAAAATAGTAACATAATACCAACATGATGCATGGAAATGATGAGTTTCAAACTTGACTTAAGATAAACTATTAAACTTTGGTACACTTTTTATTAATGTGCACTGTAAGACAAAAAAAAAAACACAAAAAAGAAGAAATTTAAATGGATGTTGTACATAGTTTTTGAAATGCTGACAGTAAAGTCATAAAGAATGTTTCAATAAAGTTAATGGCGAAACCATGAAGAAGAAAAAGAAGAAGAAAAAGAAGAAGAGGAAGAAGAGAAGGAAAATAGAGCAGTAACATGAACCCGACATACAAGTTACAGATGAGAGGTTGGTTATGACAGCTCCAGAGCATTAAAAGAAAATCCCTCATAGTGGGAAATGATCTACAACATATTGTAGAGATACAGTACATACAAGTCATTACAGTATGTGTTAATGATACATGTTTGTGTTTTTAGAGGACACCTCACACCAGTGTTTGCTTTAAACAACCGCCTCAAAAAGGGAGGCAACAAAATGTTTCTGGGAAGAGTAAATAGTGATACAGCTTCATACACTCAAAGCACAGTATAATCCATTATAAGACTTTATTCACCCAGTTACTCATAAGTATCATAGATACATACTTGTGTTTACAAAAATAGTTCTTGTAAAGCTTGGTTATACTATTCTGATATATTTAACAAAAAGCCCTTTAAGAAATCCTAATTATTTTTTACATTTTCTTTTGATTCTTTTCTGTTCTGTCATCTACTTCACCACAGGTCAGGCTCCACCCACACAATCTTCTTCTGCTCCTCCCAGATGATGGTGCGCAGGCTGGTCAGAAGGGAGGTCTGGTCACACCAGGAGTCCGGAGCCACGCTGTGATACAGACACGGCAGCTTGTCCAACAGCGGCTCCTCGTTCCTCGAACATGCCAGCAGCTGCTCCTCTGACTGGCCGTGGCGCTGCAGCTTTGACCTGGAAGAGTAGGAGGGATGAAGAAAATAAAGCACATAAAGATTATTGTTGGATCAATATTATTTTTTTGTTTGTTGGAGGTTTGGTTGTGGATTTTTGTTCATAACTGTCCAAATGTAGACAATGTGACATCTCACAGACATCTCTGCAGTACATTTCTTCACTGATGTAAAAGAATGATTCCATTCTCTCATCACTGAAACTCTTGATGTCAGTCCCTCAATCAGAGCAAACTGGTTTCTTTCTAGACGTAGTTTGAACTGTCCGCTATTGTACGAGGAGAAATCTTCATAGAAGAGGCAGAGATACCAGTTTTTCCAGTAACAGCAGCACCAGTAGACCAGAACACATTGCAGTAATTTTTTGTCTTCAGTGGAAGAAGTGGAGAGGTGTGCTCTGAACTCATAAATTAGATCATAAGCTTAAACCAAATTAGATCATAAATTTGAAAATCAAGGGGGATACGCTTGCAATATGTCTGCCTTCTCCTGCAGTTGTCTACTATTTTCAGGTAATACAAAAGAAACAAGTAATCAGCCAGTTTAAATTTCAGTCACTGTAATTGCGTTTGATCTAATTTGGAAACATAATTAGTTACATTACTAGTTACTGCCAAAAGTAGTGGAATTACTCCCAACGAGGCTGGCCATCAGAAGTTTAAGCCTGTTGAGGGTGTTAAAGTAACTGACAACATAACAACTGGAATACATCACAAACTGATGATATGCAACACTGCATTTAAAGGCACATGTCTTGTGCATGGAAGCTGTGGCAGATATCAGTGAGGTCATCAGTACACGTTGAGGTAGGTGAGTGCTTGTAGTGATAATCTGAATATCGGGGCAATGACGTGAGCTCTGTCAGTGTTTGTATGGAGAAGAAGGAGGACATTTTACCTCAGTTTACGTGCACTACGTGCAGACTGGCCAATGAAGATGATAATAGGGAAGATCTCGGACCGGTGCAGTCGACGCACGCAGTCCAGCCCCAGTGGCAGCACACAGTGAATCCCCTGTAGGAATAGTACATGGAATATGGGTTAAAAAATAGGATTTTTGAAAGAGCATGATTCAAGCGAGTGCTGTTAAATGAAATATATTTTGATGCATAATCTGTGAAGATGTTTGTGTTTTACTTTTTAACTGATTTGAGCTGATCAGTGATTGTGATGGATGTTATAGCAACTTGTGGTAGCAAGTAATGTTTACAGTGTTCACCAATTGTAGTTTAGCATGTTGGCATGCTAACATTTGCCAATTAACACTCAATGGAAAGGACAATAGAGGCTGATGGTGGCGTTGAGATAAAGGTCTCTATTTTAATTCTCTATTTTTATTACGATCACAGAGAAGCATGACAACAACAGCTGAACAAATGAAGAGACACTTCTAAATCCATTATCTTGATGGTGCAGAGTGGCACAGACTTAAAAAAAATATTATAACATATATATGTTATAATTTTTTTTTAACAGTTAATTGCTACAGTGATGATAGAAACACAAAGCGCTGCACTGCGCTCTGGAGCTGCACGGCTACAGATTTATCAGCATACAGTAGGCGTGCTGCTGCTTCAGATGGCTGCAGGGATTTAAGGAAGTATAGATCAATTTTTCTTAATCACATTAAAGATTATTGTTTGTTGCTGATTTAAACACTGGCTGGAGAGTGTTTGATCAAATTCATTCATGTACATTTGAAGCATTATTCAGTTATTACTGCTTATTGGCTGCAAGTATTTTGTTGGGGCGAGCAAGGAAGGACATGTTGACACGTAACCGCTAGTGTTGCTGAAGGTCAACAGGTCATATACTATATTTCCTTTTAATCCTCCTTCATACCACAATTCACTGAGCCACCTTCTTCTTCTTTTGGAGTTACAAACCACTACTTCGAGTGCCCAAATATAAGATCTGTGTTTTATTGAATGTTCTGACCTTCTTCATGACTTTCTCGACACTCTGCAGGGTGTAGCAGCAGTTTCTTCCCTGCTCACACTCCTCCAGGATCTCGGATTTCTGCAGCCGGGCTGCGTGCTCACAGGAGCTCAGCACCTCTGTAAAGCAGAAAGGTGGGGAGGAAGGGGAGGGAGCAGAATGTTTACCTTTAGTAGTGTCATTATCTTATTTGATTTTCTTTTGCATGTGATGCTTTTTGTTCTCCTAAATAAACTAGTTCTTGTAATGATCAAATTTTCCCACAAAGCTCATTAAACTTTCATTTGACCCTATCTCTGCAGGGAACACTAGCAAGCATTTACTGTCTTTATAGCCTCTATCATTTTTATTACTATTTATTCACAAAGTTTATTTCCTTCCTGGTTTGCAGCAACAGACAAACATGTGATCTGTCAAGTCAAACAGTCTTATCTGTCAGCAAAGTAAAGTGTGTCCCTGCTCTGTATCTAAAATGTGTCTTCAATGGCATATGCTCGAGCGGAAACAGATGAATGCACATGGTTTCATTTCAGCTTATAGCAAGACAGTACATCTTACCAGGCTGACAGAGCTGAAAGCCTTGCCAGTCTGCCAGCTTCTTGTCCAGGATGCGTCCCAGGACGGTGGGCAGCAGCAGGACAGGCCTGCAGATGGGTGGGTAGTGGGGAGTGACCAGGGTGTAGGGCATGAGGGATACACAAGTTTTGGCTGCAGTATCACCTACATAGGAAATAATATACACTGTGAGGTAGGTAAGTGCTTTCATTTAAAAAATCCTAAAACAGCACATTCCAGAGACAGTAAAGTTAGATACTGTACTTTTGTGACTCTGCTGTTGTACCTGATTCTGTGCTCTTGGCCTTTTCATCCTCCACACTGACCCACAGTGGGTTCCTGCCCAGGCGCCCGGTGCTTACAATCCTCACAGCCTTCTCCTTGTTCTGGGGCCCCACACGCCAAACACTGACTAGCTTCTGACACTTCTTTGTTTGAAAGCTCATGTCTTCGATTGCTTGGATCAGAAGCCGCTGTGCCCTGTGCCATCGGAAAATCAGTACAAATTCTCAGTTTCAAGCATTGTGAGCGGTGATTTCATCCCTATGTTGACTGACTGACATTTCTATATGCCGCATCAGTATACCAACCTGTAATAGTTGGGAACGGTTCCACTCTGGAGGTCCAGTAGCTGACAGGGGTGAACCTGGCTTGCATGCCATGAGTCCCCAGTGCCAGTGGGTCGTGTGTTGGTCACATGAAGGATGTCGTTGCAGGAAATGGCCAGGGTTCCGTTGGGGCCAGCAGGGAAGGACATGTTGACACGTACGTAGAAGGAGTCTCCGGAGGATGTCTCACTGCTCTGCAGCTGCTGCAGCAGCGCCTCGTAGTCTGAGCATGCAGGAGGACACTTTAACTAAAGCCACTGGATGTTTGTATCTTTGACATTACGAGAGATCGGACAATATTATTGTGTATCGCAATAAAAAACACTTTCCATTATTGTGATAATCGTGAATATCCTCACAAGGCCTGACTTGAAAAAGCTGTCGAGCTCGCCAGCATACAGTCCTATATTAATGTCCTGAATTCTTTTAAACAAGGGGAACTTTGTCTCAGTCTAACTAGTCTTGTGTAATGTACCGAAGAATGTTGCAGCTCAGCCGAATTCTTTGAATGATGCAAAACAAAGACACCTTCATAAATACAGCAGGTTGATTAACATTATATCCTTGTTTTATCTCATTCGGGGAGCAGCTTAGATCTCAAGGGAAACAATCTGCTACCTTAAGGCCTGATATCAGCTGAGGCCATGAACTTTTATTTCCAGCTAATGCCAAGTTACAGTCACTGTGATTTGTTATATGTGTCTCATGACTTAGCTCTTGCATTTGTGTGTGTTTACATGTTTGTGTGTGTGCAAAAACTAATTTTATTTCTGAAGATTAAAGTGCCAAATGCCTTCTCTTGTTGTTGTTGTTGTTTGTTGTTGTTTCCCCCCAATTATTATGTAATTTCATGATTACAGCACGAGCAAATTGTTCCAATGCCACTGTTACTGGGATTAGGCGGTAAATGAAATTCACTTATCATGTATATAGTGGAATTTGTTTCAAAGATTAATGAAGTCTTGAACATGGGAAATGTATTCTTATATCAATTATTTTATGACAGGTATCACTTTGGCTTCATATATGATCATATATACCAGTGTTTTATATACAGGTTGTGGGACATACCATCTTGCCTGGGTCGAAGGGAGAGATGACAGAGGCCCTTGATCTGGCCAAGAGCCCACATAGCTTCCTCTAAAGTGGAATCCTCCAGCACCATCCTCAGAGCCTTCTGGTTCTGCTCGCACTTCACCTGTAGAGCAACAGTATTATATAGTAATATATATATATAAGAAACGCCTTCACTAGTAGGCAGAATGATTAGAATTAGTGTTTAAAACTCACCTCCACTATCTGTGCCCCAGGGCTGATGCCGACAGTATGGGCAGCGCTCCCTTCTGTCACCTGGTGCACAAACACTCCGGTCTTATTGCCTCCAATCACTGCCAGCTGGCTGAGCAGCGCCTCCCCTTGGAAGGAGATGCTGAGCACACGGCCATTAACGCGAATTGCTTTCGGACGGGAACGCATCAGGAAGGGAGGGGCTGAGGTTCTTGACAGGCTGGTGAGAGAGTAGATTTGGATTATTGTAAGGATTGTATTGTTTCTTTTTATGGAAAGGGAAAATGTTTTTGAAGCTCAGCTTTAATGTGACGATGTTGATCTTTGCATTAGATGAACAGTGTGGGAATTGTTGCTTTTTTGGCCACTTTAGTGGCATTGCTTAACAATTGTCAGTGTTGGTTGGTCCACCACTTCAGTCCAGACTTTAATTAATTAATGTCTCCACAAATTTTGGATGGATCGTCATAAAATATGGTACGAACTTACAAACTTGTAACAACTTTTTTTATCTAGTGCAATTATTAACTATAACTATAACTAGTACAAATACCTGCAAACCTAATGCCAGTCTCATCAGCCTCAGCTCTACTTTGTGTTAAAGTACCAACTAATAGGAATGCACTGATTGGGAATTTCTTTTTTTGTTGTTATTTATTCCCTTTTGTGCAAGGCAAGTAAAGAAATCGACAATGATCTCTGCCTTGTTGCAGCTTAGTCTATTTCTCTTCTCACTGAAGATGTAAGCCGCAGAGCTGAAGAGCCGCTCACTGTTCGTGCTGCTGCAGGGAGCACATCTGTATTTGCGAGCAATTTGTGCCAGGGCTGGAAAACAGAGGTGATTATTTCTTCAATATCCGAAGTTTGAAATAACCAACACAATAATTATCCAACACAAAATTGATAGATAGATAAATATCGGCCACTGATGTCAGTCGGTACCACCTTATTTGCCAGGTCAAATATCAGCCGATACATTGGTGCATCCTAAACTAAGATGTTGACACTATTCTACCTGCTAAACATCATTGTGAGGATGTTAGCAAGCTGATGTTAGCATTAAGCTCAAAGCACTGCTATGCCTAAGTACAACCTCATTGAGCTGCCAAAATGTATTTTCAAGTAAAACTAAATAAAGTCACATTTAATATTTGGCTGTGAATCCTTTACAGTCAATACAGCAGCCATGTTTACATGTTCAGTTGATCAGCTGGACTGAGGTTAGGTGACTGACTGGTCCGGTCAAGAACACTGAACTGTTAATAAGTACTAAACATGAGACAGCACTTTAACCTCGGCCAGTGCTAATAATTGATTATTATATTTTTGGGGGATTTTATTTCCTTTAATGACAGTGGCAGCTTAAGAGTGACAAAAAGAGGGGATGACATGCCACAGGTTGCAGTCAAACCTAAGCCCGGTGCAGCAAGGACTCAGCTTTGATACATAGGACACCAACTCTACCAGGTGAGCTACCAGGGCGCTACAATTATTGATTATTAATTTCCACAACTGTTATTAACCTCTGTTAAATGTATTACCACCTTAACAGTACGCATGACCTTGAATTTACAATATGTCACACACATTCAGGTAGACTGCAGTCTACTTTAGAAATGCTTAATAATGAGAGACTCTTTATCTATAACAATGTTGGTCCAGTGGGACGCCTCACCCATCAGTGCTGGAGCCATTAGACGAGGAAAGCCTGGGTGTCTGCTTGTCTTCACTCCCCACTAAACAAAAGAGAGGCTGTTTAATGATTTGGCATCAAGGTTGTTTCCCTGGAAGTAATGTGCCAGAGTTAATGTGTCACTTTACAGCCCTGACAAAGGTTCAGCACTGAACTATAGCTAATGAAGACCCTGCCAAACAACAGCAACCCTCCACCCCCTGCACATAGAAATATAAACAGACACTCGCTTAAACAAAGACAGTTCATATGTTTTCTACACATACCACAGGGGAGAAACACAAAGTCTTCCAAGAGAGAATCAGTCTCTTCTAAGCTGCAAAAGAAAAGAAGACAACAGCTACATGAACACCTTTATCAGATCGCTCTGTCTCTTTTTGCCTAACACATACTGATAATACTGAGTACTATAGGGTAAGAAGTAAATGCCAACTGGGACATAACTGTCTGCCGTGCAACAACACAGAGACTGGTTTGGTGGGTAGGAATAATTATAGCCTGATGATGACAAAGCTGAATCTTTTGTCCATACTTTGAACATGAGAACACAAAAGTTCCCCTGAGCCAAAACACAAGAGGAATGTACAAAAACCGATAGTCTTTTCATGAGTGCTCTCTCTGGGCTTTGTATTTCTCTACACCCTCTACTTGCAGCTTTCATGTGCTCTTCAATTTACTCGTGATACACTTATTTGTCTCTGTATAACCTGATCCTAGTTAGCCCCTCTTATTCCTGTAAATCAATAATCCACCTGAATACCATCATGTCAACAGAAGGGAATGCAGAGGTCAGTGAAACCCGCAAATCCTTCCTGGTGGGTGTGCTGCCAACAGTCTTGGGACTAATAATGTACTTTCAAATACAAGCATGAACACAAACACACAGTGACATATACTGTAGATGAACAAGGAAACACAAAAAACACACACACCTGCTTTCCGCATGTAGAGCTTGCTCCCTTCTGCGGAGAGAGTCTGGACAGGGAGGCTCTGCGTTTCGGGATCGGACACTACTTACTGCAGCATCTTCACACTGTACACATACATACAGATACACATGGTACACAGAAACAGAAATTCATTACAATATAAAAAATAAGAAAGTGCAATACACAAGAAAGAATTAAATCAGGTAAAATAATCAGCCATAAAATATACTGATAAAAAGCAGACCTACTGTTTTTTTTAAATATATATTTCTTTGGGCTTTTATTGACTTTAATTAATAGTGACAGGAAAGGGGGGAGAGATAGGGGATGACACGCAGCAAAGGGCCACAGGTCGGATTTGAGCCCAGTGCCACTGCAGCCTTGGTATATGGGGCACCAGCTCTGGTCTTATTCTATTTATTTTAACATATCCCACAAATAGACTAAAAACAACAATGTGTTTGTCTGACACATACCCAAACCCATTGGTTCCTATTGCCAACATAAATCTTTAAAAACAGGTTGCTAATATATAGTTTCTTTTAAAAAAAGAAGCCAAGCCTATTTTAACAGGAGTAAAGAGTGAGTTCGTGAGGGACTACTTTCAGCGCCGATGAGTATTAAACAGTAGTGACAATAAATTTGGGAATGACTCGCATTAAACTACAATGCCCATGTTCATCATAATAAAGAAACACATCACCCAGTGCAATGCGGTGGCACATTTGTGTGCTGTTGTTTTTGGAAATATTTCTTTGGGCTTTTATTGACTTTAATTGACAGTGACAGCTGAAGAGGGACACCCCTACATTTCTAATAGTTTTGGGGTGTTAATGGAGCTCTATGGTACAGAGGAATACCATATACAAGGCTAAGGACACACAGACAATACTTCTTGGTAAGATAAGTTCATTGATGGTTTTGGTTTTCATGGTATTTGTTGACAATAAGAAAATTACAAACTATTGCCAGCTTTATTCGTTAACACAAGCAGCTGTAACTAATAAAAGACATGAGTCATGATTTAGGATCAGGAAATATTTGAAGAATCAGACCAAACATTTGATGCCAATGTTTGATACTTGATGCTTGTTCAGTGTTCAAAAAGTATCCAATATCCAGTGCCTCATAAAATATGATGACACACTCACCTCTGAAATAAAAGAACTGAGATGGGACATGGGATTGACGGCATCCATGCGGCGAAGTCTACGTCGGGTTGGGAGTGGGTCTTCTTCAGAGCTGGACCTAGGGCTCGCCCAGTCCACCACCCTCTCCTTTGACAGAGACACAGAGCACTTCATTAACATTACCATCATATTATTATTAGCTCTGTATGTGTTGTGTTTATGTGCGCATGAGAAATTACATCATCAGAACTCTGCTGTTGTTTTCTGGGGCTGCGATTGGCCTTCAGGCTGAAGACCTGCTCTTGGAACTCCACCAGCTGACACCTCAGGGTGTCCTTCTCAGCCAGGACGCGGGCGATCATGGCCTGGGCCTCATCTCTGGACAGGTACGCCTAGAAGCACAGGAAGTGTTCATATTTATTTTAATACTTGAAGTATGCAGAATCGACTGCACACAGGCACACCTTGTTTCTCAATCATGCAGAGAGACACAATCAGAGAGCATGACAACCACAATGGCCGTACGTCTCAGTCATTCATTGTCTGAATGAATAAGTATTAATGTATGTGCTAGCTTCACTGCCAACAGAGGTGTGGTATGCAGGATGTTGTCAATGTGGTCAATTGTCTATGGCTGGCAGCTGTTTATCTTTTGACACATTCTGTGAACCCAACAACTCAGAAACAATGCATGATACAAACTTCAGTTGCAACAGTGTTTGAGTCATGTGTCTCTCATTGTTTATAATGCCTGACAGAAAAACTGCTGCATTTATTTTGTAAGGAAAAATGGTAGTGTTAGTTTGCAGCGGCTATTTTGATCTTAATTCAGGGTTTCTGCAGGTTCCAACAGGTTAAATTTAATACTTTTTAAGACTCAAGTTTCAAGATTATTAATGCAATCAAAACTTATTTTCTGTCTCTACCACAAAAAAGTACAAGGAATATGAAGGAAAATTGGTATTGGATCCATGTGGGTTTTGGTTTTATAGTTGTTACAGTACGATCAATATAAACTGTTCCCAAAAACACACTGCCACGTTAAGTAACGTTAACTTCATTAATTCAAACAATTTTTAAGACCTGTCAAATTCTTATAAGACATAAGATATTTTAAGGCCTAAAATTCTAAATGTTGGATTTCAGACTTTTCAAGACCACTGTTAATTCCATATATCTTGATTCTTCAATCCCAACATGATGAATATAGTAGAACATCGGGCAGTTCAAGTGTTGGTTCTGTTGTTTTAAAATTTAGGAAAGATGGATTTTCTGCCAACCTTTTTTTAAATGAAAGAGCAAAGTATGCCAACACCACAGTCACGTTCATGCAGCTCCTGTGTGTCACACATCATATAGCAAGCATGAGCCACGAAGTACATCCAGGAGCTATTATTATTACTGTACAGTCATGTATTGTTGGTTACAACGCAGCTCCAGCGGAGCAGCTGGCAGCTGCAGAATGTGAGTTGCTTATGGCTGCCTGACAGTTGCTAGGATGTGGGTGGATCGTTCATTTAATTCTTTTCGGAGGACAAGCCTCAGTGATGTTGAGAGGAGCATTTGGAAGAGAAACTGGAAACTGTTACGACAGGTGAAATGTAGCAATACACAATGTTTTTGTAAAAGTTGTGTAATTTTACTGCTCAATGACAGAGCGAAATAATAGTGTTTCCAGTGGTGTAGTGCAGGGTATACGCAGTTATGTCGAGTATACCCATGGCACGCTGATGCACATCATTCAGTAGTGTTCTGCGAGCTGATATTTTCCCCCTAGGCATAAATGAAGAGTACACCCACTTCTTTAGGCAGACCACTGAGTATTTCCACTAGAGGAGAGTTTAAACAGTGTCCCTTATCAAAGAGACATAGATAACAACACACCCACACACACAACAGGGAGTTAAAGACAGTGAGAGCCAAGAGAGCTGATTGATATTCCATACTCTGCACAACAGCACTGCTGAGACTTGACTGCTTGACATTTGAACAGGATAAACAAACAGCATGATGTGATGCAAAATGCGTTCCAGGCAAAACACATAAATAGAATCTAAGACAGAAAATACTGCTTTGGAAACCTGAATTAATGTTTTAAGATGGCAATGTTTGAGTGATGGATTGTTCCTTACTTGGTCTCTCTCTGCCTGCAGCTCTCTTATCTGGTTCTGGATCACGGTGTTCTTCTGCTGGTGCATGTTACAGTCCAAGGTCAGCTGCTGCACCTGGAGGCTTAGGCACTCCTTCTGATCCAATAGCTGAACGCAAATACACACAAATACACACACACACACGTTACACTAATGTGGCCTCAAGTGTTTAAGGGGTATAATACAGATGTACAGGATGTGATGAGCAAGTTGATGCACTGCTAAGCCATGAAGGAGGAAACTCTCTAACATACGTTGTGTTGTATTTCACACTGCATATTAAACAGATTGTTCAGGAAGTAGCTTTAAATTGAAATTCTCCCCTTTTGCATGTCATGGCACCGTGTAGCAATGGGATGATTATCATAGACAGTTCCCGATCCAGGAAAAACACAGAAAAACACAAACACACCCCTTGTTTCTCTGCGAGTAGCTTTTCATTCTCCTCTCTGTAACACCTGAGCTGCTCTGCAAGCTCCACCTGGCTGTCTATGGCCTCAGCCAGGTCCTGGGCCAGGATGTCCTGACGAGCCTGACAGAGACACAACAGTGACAGCAGGTGAGACACAAACATGAATACACAGGTGGCTACTGACTCTTTCACTGTCTAAAGATTATGAATGAAGCTGTCACTATTCCAGATAAATCAGCAAATAAACACAGAATGACTATGTGATTATTCTCACCGGGTCCAATTTTTCCACCTTCACCAGCTGGCAGCGCAGACTCCTGACTTCCTCTTGCAGTTGTGGCATCTCAGCATGCGGGGCACACCTGAGCGAGCGACGCTTCTGGAACTCGTTCTCCATTTGTGCCTTCTGGAGCTCAGTCTGCAGCTGATACACCTGCCAACACAAAACAACATGCTGATGGGACTACAACTATCAGTGTTTTCCCAATCCATTGTGTGTATTGTAACCAACAACCCCACAATCCACACAGGTATTCAACTTACAGTTAATTAGGGGAGAAAAGCAACAAATTGCATTTGAGAAGCTGGAGCTAGCAAATACACTGGATCCTGCGCACTTCCCATAATGCAACTTAGTGGCATCTTTCATTAGACCCTCCGTTACAGGTACAAATCTTTCAAACTCTGTGTCCGAGGTTTAAACTGAAACACTAGGCCTTCTGCTCAAAACATGCAGTCTCCAAAACCAAGCCAAGATTACTTGGAGTGATGTCACTTTCTCAGGCAAAGCTCTTCTAGAGCCACAAAAGACATTGCATAACTATGTTCACATGCTGTGCTCACAGTCCCTCCATATGCACATGTAGCCTAATCTTCTGAATATGATCAAGCTACAATTCTCAGATTTCAGTTATTTAACCCTGACCTTTATGGGCCTTTCCCCTGAGATCACAGCTTTGTGTTTCAGGGAGCAGAAACTCATTCTATATAGAGGTGAGAGTTAGTGACGATCACTGACCTGCAGGTTGAGGTCATGGAGGCGCATGTTCACAGCAGATCTGTCCTCAATGGCGGCTGTGTAGCGCATATACAAGTCACACTTCTCATCCTTCAACTTAGTGACTTCGTGCTGCAGAGAACACAAGTGTCTCCGCATGCGTTCGTTTTCAGACTGAACGCATCTTGACTTCTCCTCCTGCTCCATTATCTGCCTGATCTCTGACTCCAGGGAGGCACAGCGCGCACTCATTCTGCTAGCCTCGCACCGCGCCTCCTGGAGCTCCTTCTGCATTCCCGTCACTGCTCTGACCAGATACTCTGTCAGCTCTGAGTACTTTATCAGGCCTGCAAGGAGAGCGGTGCAAGTCACACATACAGCAAGTGATAGAAAGAGACAAACATCCCCTTAAAATGTAGGGAGACGTGAAGACACTGACCACTAAATCTGGAGGGCTCAGTGCTGGGTTTGCGTCCAGTAACTTGGGTGTACAGGGTCGGGTAGTGGATCATCAGGCTGTCCAGCAAGGCCACAGCACCATTCCTCCCCTGGGTCCTCAGCAGGTCCAGCATGTAGCCTGGAAACAGTAGAGGACAATTTAATACTAATCTACTATAATCTACTAACCACCCAATAAGTGGTTGACCTGCAAATAAAATGACAAAATAGGATCAGGGTTCTCTTTGGGTCAGCAGTGCACCCTCCTTTTTCTCAGTGGGGTTTTAGTTTCTTTCAGTTAGGTTGTGTATTTTTGTGCCTTAGAGACAATCTCCGTATCTGACCCATCCTTTTGACTCAACAGATTTAATCTAAAGATAACCATCAGGGATAAAAAGTGTTTTCTCTTTGATAGTTACCTAAGATAGTTCCCCTCTCTGATAGCTCCCTACAGTAATCAAGATCAACAATTGGAAGAATGTGTTCATAAGCAGCACAATGAACTCTTGAAACTTTACCAGGCTGCATAACATGCTGGCTTTAAATTTCTACTAAATACGTGTTCTCAGTGCTGAAGAGTTGCTGGAATTTAAAAAACAGAATGCACTTGTCGTCTACAAACTGAGGCAGACTACTGTTTCTCTACAATCCAAGAAGTGATAAATCTCACTGGTTCTCATGCTGCGGTTGGTGAGGTTGTGGCAGGAGAGGATCTCATCCTCGTCCATCTCTGTGAGTACCCTGGCCTGTCTCAGGTACGGGATCAAGGTGCACGGCCGCACCCCCAAGGAGATCCGGTGGCGGTTGTCATTAATCAGTTCCCACAGTTCCTCCTCGCCCATGTCTCTCAGGTCTGGACCCTCAGGAACACACTCTCCTGCCATCCTGAGTGTGCTGTGTGAGCGTGATAGCGAGACGGTGCTGAGTCGATGGGCACAGCTGAGGCAAATGGAGCGAACACACACCCTCAGCTGCAAAATACAGTCACGTAGTCATTACTGGAGGTAGACGTTGACTGGAAGAGGGAGAGAAGCACAATAAAAGGGCCAGGCTCTTTCCACGCCCCATGGGTGTTTGTGTCAAAGCATTTGTGTGTGTTTATGTGTGGGGGCGTGTTGGGAAAACCAGTAAGACAAGACCACTGTGACGCTGAGCAACAAGGGACTGGCTCTGTGAATGTTGGCACAAACACAGGCTCTTACACACAATCACATTTCAGACACACACACACACACACACTCACTCAAAAACCATCAGTAAAGTGAACCACACATATTTCCCCACCATTCATGCTCTTTGTAACATTTGTTTGCTTTACACAGCTAATTCAATATCTAATCACATCATAAACCTCTGCCGCTTTCTATTAAGGACTGCAGCCAGATTTGTTTGTTGAATGGAGTCCAGTCGTGGCCTGTGGCAGGAATGAACAAAGCCCCTGGCTAACACAGAAACATTCGACAACATGGGAGTTCGCTTTAATAATTCCTAATCACAGTAAAGCAAACACACATACCACACCGCTGACAGGAGCAAACACTGAGCTATGAAGTGCAAAGTCCTCTGTTAAAGAAGGAAATAAGGTTGGGGGGGCGTAGCTGGCAGGAGTCAGCGCAAGGTCAAACAGCTTCCCATACTGTTCTCTAACTTACCACCTCTGTGTGCGGACTTACTGTTTACTGTACTGCAAAGGGTTTATGCAAACAAATGAAGCCTACTGTAAATGATGTACTGGGGTAAGGGGTAAATGGAAATCTAGTGAACTTACCAGCTATGGAAAGCATGGAAATTTAAATAGCTAAAAATAAAACATTTTCAGAAGTCTGAAGTTTCAAATCATGTCTGTAGAGCTTGAGCAAAGGACACAAAACACACACAGCTATTTATGTATTACCAATGAATAATTTGGAAGGAAGCAATTCCAATTAAAGGTACGTGTGCCAGTAAATTGCAATACTGAGAACTGTGAGTCAGTGACTACAATAGGGCAGCACCCTGACAAATGACAGTAACCCTCTTCTGCTCAACAACAAGGACTAACAAAATATTATCCTGTCGCCCCCGCATCGTGTACATAATTCAGTATTCTGTACCCTGACCAGCCTCTGTCAACAGCACAAAGCTTGCTTATCTCCATCTTTTTTATTTCATGTGTGTGGGCAACTGAACGCTACTGGGGATTTCCCCATACAACATGATATGATAATATACAAGGAAAGCAATAAAAAAATGAACTGGTCAACAGAACTTCTATCCTAAAAAACTGGTCCCACATACTTAACTGCAGAACAAGTGTGGAATTGGAAATTGGTAATTAGACTGAAAGGTTATCCACCACAACTCTCTATACATACTATACTTGATAGTTAACGTTGACTTTGGAGTGTGACGGAGAGGGATGGAAGGAAAATATTACAGCCTAAGAATTTCAATCAGTTAAGTCTTGAAGGCCTGTTTTCAAGAGGAGCACAGAAATTCTTTGTAAGCATAAAATACATTTTAAAACTAACCGCAAAAGCTTAACAAGCAGTTGTGGTCGATATACAGTGCAGAATGTTCTCATTGTCTTCGCTCCTTAAAGTGAGACTATGGGTGCATTCCGATTGCCTAGTAGTTCAGCCATGTTAAGTAAGATCCTAAACTGTATGGAGCAAACAATACTCAGTTCGAAGGTACCTGTGAACTGTGAAAGGAAGAACAACAGATCATTGCTTTGCTTGAGGGGAAGCAAGCATTATAGTAACAGTAGCCTATGAAATAATCTGTAAACAATCTGCATGATAGAAATCTGACACTTTAAATCTTGGAAATGAATCAAATCACATTTATTCACAAGTTATGTACATTTCAGCAGAAGTTTTGTGATGGTATTAGTTTTTGTTTCAATATATATTCAATATTTTACTTATTATTATATTTTACTTACACTAGTCGTGTAAAATTCCAACAGTAGTAGCAACAGGTATCCGAGATGTTTATGTTACCAGTGTAACGCAATAAGGAAGTGACTTGCAGGTGTTCTGAATGGAGGTATCTCATCAAGGGAAGTTCCCCTTAACTGACATTCCCTCAACAAGTTCTCTTTACTTGCGCTATGGAAAGGAACAAAGCTTACAGAACTTTTATTAAATGGCAGCCATTGTAGCCAAAATAAAATAATGTATTAAGTACTGTAACAGTAATACAAGCAAAGAATAATCATAAAGTCAGTGAATTGACTCTGTAATATCACTTATACGGCAGCATCTTATTTATTTATTTAACTTATTGTATTCAACTGAGCAAAGGCATGTGTTTGCTTATGAACTCTAAATTTAATAAGAGAAAGAGTGTTATAGTTCTTCTTTCAAAGTTGTATTATTTACACTTCATGGTCACAAACTTTGGTCAGACTAAAAGCATGCACGCACTGCACAAGTGTCATAACCCTGCAGGTGTCTGGGAAAGGACTTTCTAATGATGGTATTAATCCAATAATCACGACCGAACCCTGCTCTGGGCTGGACCTGGTCTGTATCCAAGAAAGAGGTCACATGACTGAGAGTTGGTTTGGCATAATTATTTGACTAAACAGGTCTCAGATGATAAAGAAGTTGACAGATAAAACAGCACAGGCTAACAACTCAATATATTACAGAATATACGCTATTTTCACATTAGCATACATTCAAATGATGAAAAATCTATCTTCACTTTCTCTAAAACTTTAAGGAAGTGCATGCTATCTATAATGATGTATGAAACTATTTATGGGAGACCAATGCTTAAGGTGCATTTTAAAGAGTACATTAAAGATATCTATATGGGTTTGGTGTGTTAGAGTTTAGCTCTAGGTTAGATGTTAAGGCCAGAGGAGTGTGAGAAGGAGTTTGAGTAAGAGAAGACTGGGTTCTTTGTATTCACTGCTTGCTCCAGGGCCTATGCATGCATGCTGCTAGTTCTAGCGACAGTCTGCAGGGTGCCCCCGGCGTGCTGTGGAAAGTCCAACAGTGAGAGAGAACACGCAATCTGAGGAGCCAGTTCCACAGCATTGCACGAGGCTCAGTGGCCACCCATTCAGGAGCTTTAGATTTCTAAGTGTTTAAATCACATCATGTCACTGCTGCATAGCCTACAGCAGACGTGCTGCCATCAAGTGCAGCCTAGAGGTACTTGGGTCAGCTCTGTAAAGCCGGCAGATATTGGACATGTGCCATATGTCGTTGATTTGAATGCAGACACGGAGTGAAGCGCATTGCCACAGTGCTGCTACTGTGAACAGACTTAACGGTGTATGTGAGTAACATCTCCACCCATGGTGGCGTGCAGGTGCTTTGTTTTAGTAAGCACTCCCACACAAATGAAAGCTACTGTTATGCTCGAGATTGACTGACCCAACAATAATAATGAACGCAAGAGCCCTGCGGCGCGGAACATGACAGTAATAAATGTAATGGAGCCTGGACACAGTGCAGAGCAGCGCATTAGCTGCACACATTCCTTTTTGTATATTGTTGTTGGTGTAGGCCAGTTACATTCACTTTAACACTATTTCTTTTTATTTATTCTTTATTTAGACAACCAGGTACGGTTTGTATATTTCATGTAAAAAGGGATTTGTTTTCTAAAACAAGGCTGCATTTCCAGTTGTTGTGTTGTTGTTGTGAATGTTTTTTGCACATAAATTAATCTTAATGAGGAGCTTTACCTAACATTAAGATGACTGCAAAAAGTAGACAAAGGGAAAATAAGGAAGTTATGTGATGGATGTCACTGGCAGTATAATACAAAACACTGTTGAAATAGTTATTAAAAACACATGAGGCGGTGAAGAGAATAAAGCGTCTATGAAATATGAGCATAATGACCTGACACAGGATATAAAGAGCTTAAATGTGCGGCTGCCTCGCCTTCTTTCAGTAACTGAACACATAACAGGTGTATGAGCTCGATGCATGATTGTACTGAACGGTTTCAGGTATCCAGTTAGATTTTACGTCATTGATGCATTAACGGTTGTTACAATGTCACTAGCAACTCTTTATGTATTTACTAACCTTTCATTGTTTAAAAGCTCCCATACTGGCAACTGGACTGAAAAAGCCAAACTCTATGAAGGATTTTGTTATTTGCACTACTGTTTAATAGGTCTTTATTTTATTACATTGTTTCACAATCAGTATTTCATTCCAAGCATAAAAGAATGCAAACATTAAAACAAATCACCTCTCATTCTTCACAGGTCATCACTTAGCTAATCTTTCCTTCTTATCTTTGCCTCATCTTTACTCCCTTTCCATCCTCTGCACTCCCTGTCCTGTACTCACAGCCATGTCTATCTTCCCCTCACTCCCAGGACGTCTTGGGCTACAGGGCCTGTGTGTGTGCTGCCAGTGCCAGCGACAGCCTGCGGAGCGCCCCCTGGTGCTCGGGGAACTCCTCACACACGCAGTGCAAGATGCTGCTGGCAGCGTGCACACGCTCCTTCTGGCTCTGCAGAGCGGCGTCGACAGATTCGCTGGTGGACGAGGCTTTGTAGCTGCCCTCACGCACCCCCTGCAGCTTCTTGGTCCGGTTCTGTAGAGTCACCAGGTGGGATAAGTTCTAGAAGGAGGGAAGGATAAAGAATGAGAGTGGATACGTTTTGTGCTTTCACTTGTTAGAAATTGTACAACACTGACCACAGAAGGTGAAAAAACAGTGAGTACTTGTTTCTGGTATTGTTGGTGTGTGGGAGTGGTTTCTGTGAGTGGAAACTGTGATGCAATCCCCTGTTTACATGACCTGAATGGAGACTTGATTGACGCATACCAGTTACCATGTATTACTTTGGTAGCTTAAACAATGAAGAGGGTGTACTTGTATTACATTTCAAGACAGTGAAGAGTCAGTCACACACACAGCAGGTAAAAACCAGCATAGTGTACAAATATCTACGGGCAACACAACATTTTACAGCAGATTTGCAGTTTATTTACATGCTATTAATGTGCTGTAATGCAGTACACATGTGCTTCTCACCCTGTCTTTGGTGTCCTGGAGATTTTCAAAGTCGGGGTCAAGGGTGTAGCTGGTGCCGCAGAGTTCTATCAGCTGCTGCTTCTGCTGTGCAAGACTGTCGCTCAGACTCACCTGGCTCTCCTGTAGCTCCCTGATCACTTGCTCACACTCTACCGCATGCTGAAGACATACATATTGCATGTAAGATAACTGTTCAACGTGCTTTAGACACATACGGAAGCAGGACTGTGTCTCCTACCTTGTGCGTGTCCTGGATCTTGCGCTGCAGGCCCTGTATGACGCGGCTCAGCTCGCCCATTGTGCTCTGTTTGTGGGAGCTGTGGGAGCTGTGGATCATGGCTTCCCTGCGCAGGACGATGGTCTCCCTCCTCGCCACTGTCGCTTCACTCTCCCTCAGCAGCTGCTCCTGCTGCTTCATCAGCTGGTTGAGTCGCACCTGCACAGACACACATGTATTGAATGGAGTGCACACATATTAAATAATAAATAAAAACATAAATACAAGCATGTAAACCATTACTAGGGCATGATGCTTTATTGACTTGCCTTTCCAAATGACTTTACAGACCCAGACATATATTTTTGCTTGCTCTAAATGTTTGTTTCATCCAAACCACAGACTATGGTAGTGTTTTGGATGCTAATTTATCTTTTTGTACCTTAGATGAGGAAGTTTGAAAAAAAATTCCATTATTCAAAATATGTGCTTGAGCTCAAAATTGACTATTACAAAGATACTAGCATATGTTTCACATAAAAAGGTGAATTCTAATAAATAAATAACTTTCTTATTTTATTAGGGTAATAACACTCAGTGACTCCTCACTCCATACATAACCCCAACAAAAGGAGACTGATCCCATCCATAAGACCTCATCTTAAGTAGGTCATCATTAGTGCAACTAACTAGCAGAGATTAATAGATTTTGAGAGCTTTTTGGAAGTAGAGGGGATACAAGAGCCTTTTTTTCAAGTCAAGATCTGTTGGTGAGTCTGCAAACAACATACATTTTAAAATTATTTCACAATGCAGAGGACAGAAACCCACACTGTGCTTTAAAGTGTTCTAATGTTGTGGAACTGGCTCCTCAAGTCTAAACTAGTGTTCAGAATGATGTTCTCTGTATTCACCACATGCTCTTCAATGTTTACTGCCTTCAATGTTTACATACAAAAGGCAAACAGCTGGATGACAACTCAACATTGCTGTTTATTGTGTAATAAAGTATGATCCTGTTGCGTGCGGTGTGTTTACCTCCATGCGGTGTATCTCAGCCTTCATCATCTTGATTTCTCCCTGGCCCACCTCGGAGTTGACAGCTGAACGAGTTTCTTTTACAAGCTGGATCTTCTTCTCCCACAGCATGATCTGTCGCCTGTTGGCCACTCACACAGATGAAACACATGCACACAACAAAGGACACATGTAAAAACTAGTACCCAATGTATGAGGTATGAGCTCTTACTGTAGAGGGGAAAAAATGTATTGGAAAAAGAAATCTTGATATTAAATGAGTATATTAAATATCTAAAACACCCAGGAAGTTACTATACACCACCATAAATATGTTGTATAAATCCAGCAAAGATTAATAAAAGTAGGAATGTTTTAAATAAGTTATCAGTGAATCAGATTCTTTTAAGAAATATAAATTCATACAGAACAAGCCTAAAATGAATATGTGACTGACTCAGCCTCCACCAGAGTGTTGAGGAGTCTCTCTTTTTCCTCCTGGGTCTTCTCGTGCTTCATCTGCATCTCGATAGACTCCCACTCTGCTTCCTAAACACATGATATCTTGTTTACTAACCGATTCACTATTAAAACTGCAAAGTTAAACATGAAAGAATGGTGCTGTGCCTTGAGTCTGTGAATGAAGTCTGTCTCCATCAGTGTGTTCTCCTGCTCCAGTGCCAGGCTGAGCTGTCCGTTCTTGCTCAGCAGGGTGTTGAGCTTCAGCAGGTCTCCTTTCAGCATCTTCGCATTCTTCTCCAGCTCCCTCTCCTCACGGTGCTCCACTTCAATCTGACCTGGTGGGGTCGGAGTTGGTTTAATGGTAGCTCATCTGCGAGTGCTGATGTTGTTAAACACTTAAAATGTCACACATAATAATAATAACATTCTCAGACATGCTGTTTAGCTCATGATGACTGGTAACCTGCTTATAACTTACTGACAAATGACCTGTGTACCTATTTGTGCATATGTGTGCTTCTTTAGAACTGTATTACATACTCTCCAAGCGTATTTTCTTCTGCTGCATGACAGTGTACTCTGTTTGCAGTTTGAGCATGTCCTTGCTGTTGGCCTCTATCTCCTGGGTCAGTCCTACTAGAGTCTCTTGTCGTTTCACCCAGAGCTTCAGGTCATTCTGGATATTCGCTGCCAGCTCCTCAATCTTAGCCATCAATGTCTCTATCTTGATTTCTAGAGGACTCAGGTCCTCATGCTGGGAATGGAAGCACACAAAAGCAGCACGTTTTTATTTTTATATCCGATTGTAAAGATTGTCTGATAAATGTATATGCCATATGAACAACAGACAACCATGCATTACTGCCTCTCCAGAATCTCTTACCCCAGTTCTGGCTGCAATTTCACTGATTTTTTTGTTATAGGTGCTGATGGTGGACTGATTCTGACTGGTTTGCATAACAAAGGAAGAAATCTTAGCCTGGTTGGTTGTCAGCAAGTTGTTGTACTTTTCGATCTCCTTGTCTAGGGCCTCCTGGGTGTGGGCCAGGCTGTCCAGTTGTTGGCTGAGCTCGCTGCTCTCCAGTCCCACCACCACTACACTGTTCTCCAGCTGCCACAACTGAGAGACCTAAAGAGGAGAGAGAGAGAGAGAGAGAGAGACGATGAGCAAGACAAAAACGCAATATCTTTATGTATCTTTATCTTTATCCATAGCATATTATACATGTGCTGTTTTTGTGTTCTAACTCCGGCACATTATATCTTTGCCACTCAATTACATTACATAATTGTGTATTAAAAGGGCAATCCTCAGATTTTCACACATTCAGAAGTTCAGTTTACTTGTCTTAAGGAGTACTCCAGCGGGCTGTGAAACAGTTGTATAATATTTCCTATGGCTTTGAACAGAGCATTAATTAAAATACATTTCTAGCCAAAAGAAAGACGTGACAGTTACAATTTGCAGACAATGTGTACTTGTGTATGTAGCGCATGGAGAAATGAAAACTCACCATAAAGAAAACCAGAATGCTTTGATTACTGTTTAGAACATGGGGTAGTGTTGCACTTCAGCCTTGTGTGGTTGAAATTAGTATTACAACAACACTGTTTTCTCATAATGTTTTCAGATGAAACAAAAGCAAAAACTTTGAAAGATGATTGTATGAAAAAACAAAGGATTCTGTATGTTTGGCCCCTACTAGGGACTGAAAGTCAGGACAACTTGGCTTCAATTTTCAATTTAAAAATAAAAAAATAAAAAAATATGTTTCTTTTCTTATGAAGTTTATGGAAGTGCATTAATAAATCTCTGGAGCACTCCTTTAAAGAAGACAAGCCCAGTTTGAAACTGAGGGTCTGTAAAAAAATATACTGTATATTAAATAATAGATAATGTTAATGAAAACACTATTACTTACATGTATATGGAAGGACTCTGGTGGACACACTTTCGCTGTCAGTGTTATTAACCTGCACCTTCTGACTGAAACCTTCTTACTAGGCTTTTACACAGCCTGAAACATTCTGAATGTTTTTGCTAACTTTATAAATCCCGTCTTTACCTTTTCCTTCTTAAGTGATGCTATCTTGCTGGTGAGCCTTTGGGAGTACTTGGCAGCTTTGTTGTGGGTGAGCTTCTGCTGCATGTGGGTCATGATCTGGTCCTCCAACTCCAGACGCACAGAACTCTCTTTCTCCAGCTGCCTCCTCTGATCGTTCGCTTCAGTCTGGTGGGCGCTGGTTTCCTACAACAATGAAGGTAAAGAATTGGAGAGTAGAGCGGTTATAGAGGGAAAGAGAAGGCAGAAAGATACTGTAACAGAACACCTCTCTGAAACATTGGGTGCAGAGCTGTCAAAACTGGCTACCTTAGTGAGCCTGGCGAGGGTGCGCTCTGTCTCCCTAAGAGTACGGAGGCAGGTGCTGTAGTGGGCCTGCAGAGCCTCTTGCTTAGCCTGCTTCTGACTGATCAGCTTTTTGGAGGTGGCACAGTCCATCTGGGACCAGTTCAGCTGCATAGTTAATGTCTCATTTTGCTCCTGCTCTTCAGCGGTGGATTTCTTGTAGCCTTCAATCTCTCTGTCCAGCAAGATCATCTGGTGATCAACAGCGCTGAGGTAGACAAGCACAGCAGTAAAGAATGAATAGGTGCATATTTTCATTTATGATGATTTCATTCAATTTTTCTCTTTCTGCTTCATCCTCAAAAGCAGAAGAAACCAACAATCCATCACAGCAGAGAGAGACCAAGATGCTGTTCACCCGGCAGGTACCTACACGTACATTTGGTATGCATTAGCACATTTAAAGGGATCAGTAGCATATTAATATTCAGCCTTCCCTTGCCCTCATTCTCACCACACAGCTTCCTGCATGGCGCTGAAGGCCTCATCTCGTCTCCTCATTCCCACCAGGCTGCCGCTCCACTGCTGCAGCAGCTGTTTACGGGCCATTACCAGAGATGCCATTTCCATCTCAGCCTGCACACAGACACAAAGATTAGAGGACATATTAGGATAGATGCTGTAGAGATGCTTCACCAGCACTTAGAGAATATGCAAAGTATATTAGAGGCATTTGGTTCAGCAAATGAAAAATATGTTGTTCTCAAGAGAATCAATGACGGGGACAATGGCATACCCTGCTCATGTTTTCGTTTGTGTTTAGTGTTGTGTGAGACAGATAGACCATCAGATTCACATACTGAATACAATGTTGTCTTTGTTGTCTGTAGTTATTTACTGCAAAATATACTCTCTAGGCCAAAGACCTATTTCCAATTATTGATTGGCTTAATAAGCAATTTGATTATTTGAATGTTTTAAAGCTGCACTAATCTATATCTTTACATTAAGAATGAATTACATGATTATGTGTACTGATGAAGTCACAGATAATTATCAGCCATTTTAGCATCCTCCAGCTCATTGTTTTGGTTTTCTAGCCTGCTTTTTCAGTAAAAAAAGACCTGTTAGACTGTCAGTCTAACGCTACCTGGCCAGCAGCAAACAAAGGTAACAACAAACGTACAGAATCTAGCAGCTAATGAGCTAGATATTTATCTCAGGAGTTGAGCTGAAAGGAGAGAGAATATTGGACTTGTTATGTGGCCAGAAATGCAACTGAATGCTAATGTTGCTCTGTATCTACTGGATGTGTAAATGGACAACTGTTTGCTAACACCTTTTCCATAACAACTGGATAAGGTGAATTTATAGTACTTACTTGGTGATTAAGAAGCACTTTTAACGTACAGGTACACAGTCTTATGCCATAGTACAGTTACCTCGGAGAGAGCTGCTTTGGCTGCCTGTGTCTCCTCTGCTTGAGCCTTGGCCTGAACTTCATACATGGCTATTTGCTCCGTCAGGCTCTCCATGTCCTTTGTTAGACGCTCTACATACAAATCCTGAAGACACAGGAGTATTTTCAATCAACAGCAGTACATTAATCAATGAAAACACCTAATACAACCAAACAGTCTGATGTTTTTGATGTGCCGACTTCAGCCTGTCCACCTGCTTCAATTTCTGCTCCTTGGCCTGGTTTTTCTCTGCTCCCGCTTTGCTTTTGACATTCTTCATGGCTTTGACATTAGAGCGCAAATCTTCACTGACTCCTTGCGTGAAGACGAGATGCAGCATCAGGTTGTCTATCTCCGCCTGTAGCTGGGACACTATGAAGATACACAGGAGTTAACATTAACACCATGACTCAAGTCTGTATTTGGGAAACATGGACACTGGGGCTGTCTTGCTGTTGCTAAAACAGTACTGTATATCCATTGGAAAAAAAATAAGCTGCTTTTAATACAAAACCTATTGTGTAGTAAAAAGGATGAAGTTTCACATCAGTTTAAATTTAGGTTTAACTCTTGCACAAACATTCAAACCTGAAATATAAATCTTACTTAATTAAAGACTAGTAATTGCTAGTTCAATTACATGTTGCACCAAAATCTGGGTTTGTGTGTTTCAATCCACATGGCTTCCAAAAACATTTCTAAAGCTGTATTACTTTTGAGAGATTGAGTTACAGGAAGCAGAAGAAGTGAAGTTACAATACACTCAAACTCCAAACAATAATATTGTATACTCTTCAGTGGGTCTATTTCTTTGCCTGGATATGTCTGCACAGAAATTACAGACCAAGCCTAACTTTATTAATATTTTGCTCATATTTTCAAACATCATGGATTAACTCAATAATCCTAGATTTGTTAATTACAGTTTAAAGTCAATTGTGCAACTCAGTTAGAAGGAAATAAGATCCTGGATCAGCACAAAGTCAACACCACCAAACACAAGTCAGTCTCACCATTGGCTTTGGCTTTTATGTCCTGGTTGGTAATACTGGAAAACTGGCTCTTCATTGCCTTCAGCTGATCCAGTGCCTGCAGACGTTTGGCTTCAGCCTCTGCCTTGGTATGTTGACGGCCCTCCAGCTTGGTCTGGAGTCTGGCCAGCTGCTCTTGAACCCCAAATATCTCAATATGTAAGTTCTGCATGTGGTTGGCATCTGCCTTCTCCATTGCGAGCTGGGGCAGTGGGAGAGAGAGCACAGACAAGATTCAGAAAACAAATCATTTGTCTAGGATTATACAAAACTCTCCCTGTTTGACTATGGTTACGGTAACAGTATAGATGTTTGGTGACCTAATCATTTTTATGTTGGGTATTAAATGTAAACGATGAACAAAGGGAAGAAAATCAGGACACAGAGGTGAAAATGTAATTTTTATACAGCTCAACAGCTCCATCTTCTGGACATATTCAGACCCTATAGATGCAAAGCTAGGGAGGTTACTCGCATGTTGTCTGCTTCTGCATGTGCATATCTGTCTATGTGAATATTAACAGAGCAAAGATGGGAAAAGAAGCAGAAAAAATATTTGTTGTTGTTGCTGACAGTAAAGTAGCGTACCTTTTCCTTCAGTTCCATGTTGATCCTCTCTAGCTGCTTGCTGAGCTGACTGTTCAGAGCAGCTTGCTGCCTTCTGACCAGCGGCTGCCAAGAAATCAAACATGGCATCAATGACATGACAATGGACTAGATATCTAGTATAATAGTTATGAACTCACTGTACTACACGTCTGTGATTCATGTGATTCAATTCATCTGTGCAGCATTAACATAGCTTGGAGTGTTACCAATGCACCTAATAAACACACTAGCATTATTCTCTTTGAAGAGCAGTCAGGCAAAATCTATTCATTTAATACTGATCGCATAGATATTAAAGGAGAAGCTACAGACATGTTCAGAGTCGAGAACAATGAACTCCTCCTCCTCCTCCGGCAGTGGCTCCCGTTCCTCCATGTCTTCTGATGTGTTAAGGTTTGAGAGGTGAGGTATTAACTGAGCAACATGTTCTTGCTCTGAAAACAGAAAATAAAAGAGATTCTTTAACCAATCAACAGATTCAAATGTGTGTTCATAATTATTGCTGAGTGACATAGAACTGGTACTGTTTTGTCTGTCTTTGACTGTGTTTTGGATGGATATATTGGTGTTTTTCTCCACATACTGACCTATACTCTTGTTGCCATGCTATTCTTTTTGTTCCATAAAGTTTAAGTTGATGAAGGTGCTGTAATCTTAGGCACAGTAGCCTTTTTTCCCTAGGACAATTAAGTTTCCTGTATTGTAACTAATAAATGGTAGTAATGGACCTTTGAACTAAGGCATCCTAAGCAAACCAGTCTAAATGGCCTGTTTTACCATATTTATTGTATGTAGTTTGAACTGATTTCTGTGCTACCAATTTAATTTCCATAGGATCATAAATTATATTGTACTGAGCTTTAAAGGGGGACTAGCCCTGCCCTGTTTTAAGAGCTGTTATCAGTGGAACATCCAGCCTATAGGGCGAGATGGAAAGACATTGAAGGCCACACATCAACCACTATTCCAATACAGACTATTAAAAATGATAAAAAACTGAGAAAACATCTTAATGAGGAGCTGGGTTTATCCCTTAACATTTGGTTTCAGATTATAGCAAAGAATAGCCTTACAGAGCAGAGTAGGTTACTGCGGTGGATTGCACATGATTCAGATTTGACACCTAATACAATAGATGGGTGCTTCAGAAGATGGGGCGGGGGACCAACAATATTCTAGGAGCTCTTTAAGAAGAAGAACATTTTCAAGATCTAAAGAATAAAAAAAATATATATAAAAAAGTCTAGAGTTTAGATGAGGTAGAGTCGGGAATTATTAAATTATTTACTTTAGCATATGAATTAGATCTGGGCAAGAAATTAATCTCAAAATGATATAAAGAAGTGGAAAATGTAAAAGGTCATAATACAGTATATATAAAAGAAAAGTGGGAGAAGGAGGTGGGAAGGATGCTGTCAAAGGAGGAATGGGAAGAGATCAATGAACAACAATGGAAGACAACATGCCCCCTCTCATGGAGGGAACATGGTTGGCAGAACATAGTGAGATTATTATTGCACCAGCACAACAGAAATCTCAGGATACGAGATGTCGGAGACTATGTGGTGAAAGTAAAGCCAATCATTTTCATATCTTTTGGGAATGCCCCTCTATTATACCTTATTGGCTCGAATTAAAGAAATGCATGGAGAAAATTTTGAAAGTGGAACTTCCATTTACATTTTTTGTTTTGTACTTGGGAAAAGGGAACCAGAGAATAACAAATTCAGGGGACAAATATTTATTCAGAATAATGTTAGGGGCAGGTAAAAAAAAAAAAAAAGGCAGGAAGTGGCTGGAAACGGAGGTACCTAAAATGGAGGATTGGGTCGAAGTATTGCACATTTACATGATGGAAAAGTTGACTTTCTCAGTTAGACTTGAATCAGATACATTTTAGAATTTCTGGAGCAACTGGGTTGAGTTTGTGACACCATTGAGAACAGACTTTATTTGGTAAAAACAGTGTACCTTATGGATCCCCTTGGTTCTTGCTACAATTTTTAAATGTTCAATGTCCATAAGATTGTGTTTGGCATTATCCTTCACCAGGTCTTTACAAGAGGGGAATAAAAATGTGGATTGACGTGAAAAATGTACTCATTTCTAGTCTATTGAATTTTGTGTTTAATTGTGAATTTATGTCTATTTATGACTTTTGTTTTTATCCCTGGTGTGAAGTATTTGTATGCTCTGTATCCATGAAAACATACGTGCACCTGACCTGAATGTGTGGCTGCAGGGGAGTATTCATCCCCTTCACTGTGGTCAGGGTGAAGCTGGGGGGTCGGTTCATCAGGCTCTGGTCCTGACTGATCCAGTGAGCCATGCTGGGACACAGACAGAGAGCACGGATGATGATTTAACGTTAGTCGTGGTGCAGTGTTAGACACATTACATATCCACTTTTGGCACAGGACTAACACTGTATGCAACAGTATAATAGGCTCAAACCCCTTGTTAACTTATGTGCTCCCAACAGCAAAGACTACAAGTGAAACATCAAAGTACCTGGACAAAAGGTAATATAAATATTTGCATGTCTCCAAAAGGAGTTGGTGAAAGATAAAGAAGTTTCACACTAAAGCAACAACGTTGTTTAACTCTTCTTTCCTCTAATGTACCGTTAACATAACGTTACCTCTGCCGCTCTGTCACTTCCATCCTGCAGATGGCCGCCTCTCTCTTCTTGGCTGGAGCTTCCCTCCCTTCCCTCCCTTCCCTCCTCCCCGCCTCCTGCACCCTCAGCGCTCTGCATCGGACCTGTGATGGAGTACCACTGGTTTTATGTTAGCATACTTTTTTAACAGGTAAGTTAGTTTTCTCTTCTCTAGCCACCTGTTACAGCCACGTAACAAATACATTAACACACTGCACTTCTATTAACGTACGTTATTTGTTTTTTTTTTTCAATTTGAACACTGTAGCAAACTAGCTTTCCGTATGTGGTCGGTACAAAATACGCCAAACTCGCAAAGACAACATTAACGCCAAGCTAACGGAAGCTTAGCGCTGAATTGTTAGCCGTGGACAAGCATTAGCGGACAGTTAATGGAGGTCGGACAGAGGTTGAGGAAAACATAAACGCAGTTACAATAGCAGACAACTAACATTAGCTATTGAACAAATAAAAGAAATACAGCCTGTAACTGTAAAAAAATATCATAATAATGACCTTTAATTCTGACAACACTCCGCTAAAGCCGTAATTACTCACCTCCGTACTGTCAGTGACAAACTAGCGCACTAACGTTGCTGGGCAACAGTAAACTTCCGTTGGAGGAGGTGCAGCGCTCATCGTGCCGGACCGTCTGATGTCAGCCCTCATTTTCTACAGGTTGGGTAATGATCATTGGTAACAACTGTGATTACCCTGCTTATTTCATGTCAAAATGGCTGCTGTGACAAAAGTCTGTTCTGAATGCAAAATTTGAAGCAAAACACAAAAAGGCTTTCATTGACAGAGATTTATTTTGCTCTATAAATAAGGCAGATACACATAATCACTGAATTTGGCCTTAAAATTACATTATAATTTTAAAAAGTAATTAATTCACAGATACAAATCATGGCATATCTTCATATATCCTCAAAAATCTCATTTCATTCTGTTTATTCCAAAGAAGTAGACAAAATTACAACCATAACCCACTTCATGTAGTCATTCAAAAACAAATACTTAACATAAACGCATAAAGGGAAAGACAATTATACAGAAAATCTATTTTGTGTTACAGTGCTTTAGTATCCTAAGAGAGATAACAAGCTTAGAATTCCTGTAAACAATGTTAATGCAGGTACTGTAGCGCAACTGTAAATATTACCTCACAATGCTATATCAATACAGGATGTGTACCTTTGTGCAGAAAGAAAGATCCGGCACTAATAGGCCTATTTAAAGGACTTTGGTTAACATTAGAAATATGACATGGTTAAAAATTTATTTTTCAGAAAGGGAACCTGTAGATAAGGCTATACATTCTTGGCAATAGATGCTCTACTATACAGTACGTACCTTAACTTCATCCAATTGTGTACATACAGTATGGCGACTAGAGTCTTTTTAAAGCACTGTGACATATCAAAGTTGGTCAATTAAATTCACTTCCAACAATACTAATCATCGTCATCAACATTAACACCATTAATGAATGATGTATAGAGAAACACACCACCTGGCACTCCATAAACATAAGGATTGAATGACACATCTGGAAAATGAGATCAACATGAGATAGTGTTTATCATGAGAGAACAAAAAGAAAACTTTCACTTGTATTTGTGCAATAATTTGCATACCACAGTCAAAATGTGACGGGGTGACAACTGTTGTCATACAATAACAACAGGAACCAAATACTATGCATACATACATTCAATAAACGTGTTAGAGGCCACGTACTTCTCATCAGACATACACTTTTATATAATATCTATACAAGGTCATACTATAACCTACATAGCGTTTTTATCATTGCACTTATTGTGTTTGTCATTAGTGCGGCATTTACATAGTGAATGACAGAGATAATGTATGTCTGCTCACATAAGCATTATTTCCGTACAGACATGGATAAGGGCATCATTGGCATTTAAAAAAAAAAAAAAGGTCTTGGCAAATGAAGGGAGGTGTTCATGGTGTGGTCACAGCACGAATGAATACTGTTAACTGTTAACACCTGATCAAAAGCCGCTGACATAAAGCCACTTAAAGGTTTAATGTTTCATATAGTACATGAACCTAATATTAAGTATCTGAGCTTTTTCAGTACACTTTCTTTTAACCTGCTTACAATTTGGTCACTCCACAATGGAAATGACAACTCGCCATCACACACGAATCATTCACTATGAAACAGCTCCAATTTCAACATACTATCATATAAATCTCTACTTACTGTATTTCTAGAATAAAGGGGCTACCATGCTCTATCTCACTCTCTAGCCTTAGCAGGAACTGCAAGCTGTAAGGTATCTGGTGAATGCTTTCACATCAACGGACATTATGTACTTATCTATCCCCCCCTATTCCCCTGATTAACTTAAACCCAATTGTGAGCCAAACGTGACTCTCTTCACAGATCAGTCCCTACTCAATAGGTCCTTATATAAATCCTTCAAAGACGATCACCTTTTTCTCTGGCAAGATAAATACTACTGAACAGAGCAGCAAGCAACAGTTTGTCTTTAGTGTTTCCTTGGTTGACTCTACCTTGTTCCTTTAAAATTCATAGGGTCTCATCTACAGTAGGTGAAAAACCCACTCACTTCGGGAATGTATTTGTATTACAGTAGTGTCTGACTTGTCAACTTTGGCTCCAGTTCCCACTTTGAGACTTCATAAGCTCTAGGAAATACTGTAAACAATCTTCATGGCGGGCTGGTGCTGTCCCACTCCGGCTGGGAAGGCTCTGGGTCCACTGCGGGGCCGACTAAGGGTCCGCCAGCTGTGCGTGGGTCCATGGCAGAATGCATGATGGTCAGCCACAAATCATCCATGTTTGGCATTACAAAGATTTTCTGAAAGACGAGAGAGAATGATGGATGGACAGTGAGTGATCTATGACTTTTTAGTATTCTTGACACATTTTAACACATCACATAGTGTTTCCCCTTTAAAAGCACAGGTCTGGCAGGCCACCAGGCCAATGGGAACCCCGACGAAGAGTATGCAAGTTTGTTTATGGCTCATGTAGTTTGTAAATACATTTAAACCCCCAAAATAAAAAAATAAAAAAAATAAAAACAGCTTCAGTGAACTTTCTGGTGTGGCCGGGCACTGTGTCTCTGAATTACGGAAACAAAAAGAAAATGTGGTGTTTATCAATACCTGGAATTCCTGGTCCAGTTTTTTCTCTATCCAGTCTGTAACGTGAGCCAGAGTGACTTCTCTTTCACCCAGTTTAGGTCGTGCCTTCAATTCCAGGTGAGGCGGCGTCCTAAAGCCATACCTGCGACAGACAAGGTCAAAACAATCAATGATTTATGTACAAACACTACTAAGAGCTAACAAATGAACACATTGTGGCAACACAGACTGTGGTCACCACCAGCAGGGGGCAGTGATGTATTGAACAAAGTGCTACATGCAGCTGTAGGCTAGAATGAATATAGTTATCCTTATTGCGTTATGTTTCATGTGAATTACTCTTGTAACTAAGAAACTGTTGACACAAGACAGGAAACTGGCTACTTAAGAGTCAACTGAAAATAATTTCTCAACAGAGTTGGCTGTGTTTTCCATCTCTGAGGCATATGTGATCATTTGTCACTCTGACAGACATGGAAAGTCACTTTGCACAGCATTCCACAAATTACATAGCAGAGAAACAATGCTTCCTTCACGTACCATATCCTGTCAGTGGGTGGAGGGGGTATGTTGACAGCCAGCGTTCCCTGGAGTTCTTGTACCTCCACTGTGAGCAGAAGGGGTGTGTTAGACACTTCCTCCATCTTCTTTTTGATGAACTCTGTTTCTGTGGCCTTCTGGAAGTATTTGGACTTGGTGATCTTGTCCACAAAGCGCATGATCTTGCTGGGTTTGTGGCCTCCAGCCCAACTTTATTCAATAAAAGGATTAGGATTAAAGTCACATACTCAATTTAGCGTAGCTGTAGTTACAAGAAATCTCATGATATCATTTTTATCTGACAAATAAATAGATTATGTTGTCCAGATAGGGCAGTGATTCAATTATGAATTGCTCATTCTCACCCCTCTGCTCCAGCACAGTCATTTGAGAGCTCTGAGGAGTCTTCCTCATCTGATGAGCCTGCGCTGGACGACTCTTCATCACTATCAGCCAGGCAGTAAGTCCGTGGCCTGTATCTGGACACACATAAACACGGATGGATCAAGGTGAGCACAAAATAACATACACAGACGCACACGCACACGCACTAACACACGTACAAGGTTCCACTGTATTTCACTGCACTTGAATTCTACAGTAATCTACCAACGAAACAACGCACAAATGGTGAATGGCAACAGCAAGAGAGATATGAGTGTGCATGCAAAAAAGACAAACCTCTGGAAACATCACTGTTTCGAGACTGCTGATCAGTCTGTCTTCTGCAGTGTTTCTACCGTTTTGAGCTTTCACATGTTATCTGATGTGATAGTGAATCTAAAGGTGTTTCCCTGTGTTGACTGGCAGAAATGAGCTCACTTCTCATTTACTGAAAACAATCTAGCCCTGAGAAGTACATACTTTACATGCACACTGTATTTCACAGATCACCAATTTAATACAGTGAATTGGTACAGACAGTGACCATATCAAGCGGGTTAAGTTTCTTCGTCAATGCCATTATAAATTCAGTGTTTCAGATATCATTATCATTTTTCTGCCACAGTACTATTCAGTAACATAACATACTCTGATGTATTAGTATCTGCATCATACTGTATGAACACATTCTGTTCCTCTTCAGTTCTGAGAATGGATTTGGGGGCATGTAAACCACAAACACTGATGAAGGCACTACGAATGAATACTTAATGAGATGAAGCATTGGGTGGTGACATTAAATGAGACAACCCCAAAACTATAGGCGTACGGAACTAGAGAATGAAAATGAAGCACAAGAGATCATTGTTGGAAGTCAAGCAGCACTCACCAAGAGCAGAAATACATCCGATTACCAGCCGCATAAAAGGTAGAATCCAGAGGGCGGAGAAGGAATAGCAGAGAAATAAATGGAGAAGATATAAAAGACAGCAAAGATAAAGAACATTGATTGAGAGCCAAATAGCCGACAGAGACACATGCACTTTTTAGTGTCAAGTAGTGGAGGAAAAGGTGTCAAATGCAACCCGGAAACATGTAGAGGCTTTTGTAAAATGTGTCTGAGGTATGAGGGAGTTTGGCTGTCTCACCCATCTTTGCCAAATTCCCCTACGCGGACGCTCTCTCCCTCCTTGCCCAGGCGGATGAGGTTCATCTTGGTTTCCAGGGTCATCAGGAAGGAACCACTGTAGGAAATCTCCAGGTCAAACCACAGACCTACAGAGAGACACGGTGGTTATAAGAAATGTTGATAGAAAATAAAAGAAGTGAAACTGCAAAGGGGAACATTTTGGGGATATACTCTACTGTCATGTCACTAAATCTACACACAATCAGCACAGCCAGGACACAGTACCGGTTGACAAAACTGTACTATCTCATCTTAAATATCACCGTAACCCAATTTACGAGCGATAGTTGAAAGAGACAGAGTTGGTCAAGGTGTCTTTGAGATTCAATTTCCTCGACACAGAGAGCACTGCAGGCCGCAGTCCATCTCCCTGCCTATTAAATCTCTATCTTTCTCTCACTCCGTTTCCCCACTTCTTCCCTCTCCGTCGTGCCCTTTCTTTGGCACTGCTCTTTCGCCCAATCATCACAGAAGAGGGGACCCCAACAGATTCTATTTTCTTGATCTCTCCTTAGACGAGAAAGCAAAAAGACTCAGGGAAGGGAGGGGAAAGAGAGTAGGAGAGATCACAAGGTCCTTTGAACAGAGGAGAAACAGTTGGAGGGCGCGCAATCTTCCCCCCCCTTGCCCCCGTTTGATATCAGCAGGGGGGGACTGGCTGCATAAACAGGGCTCTCCCTCTCTCCCTCAGCTCTGCTCTACCAAACCTGCTGTAGTCTGGATTATACAGACTCCTCAAAAGCCTCCATCGAAAGCCTTACTTGCATGGGGTAAGCAAGGTGCACTCTTTATTTTTTTTCTCCCTTTACAACACAGGATCACATGTTCTAGTGTACAAAGAGCCACATCTAACCACAAATTGGCTGTGGTTTTTCTTTACAACACTAGGAGGCAGCAAAGAACGACAGATGATGCAGGAAAGATGACAGAAGGGTGAAAGCCAGAAACTAAGATGCATGTGCACCATAAAAATAAATAATAAATAAAGTGTGTACAAATACATGAAGTGTGAATTTAGCGCGCAGTACTCATAGTTATTTAGACTGATTTACTAACAACAGCACACAGGGCACAGGTGCATGGATGGAAAAAGTAAGAAAGTTAATCAGATAGGATGAAGAAATGTAGTACAGGACGGCAAAAAAACACACCCCACGAGGACAAACAGCACGGAGACTGGGTGCTCTCTCCTCACTGCTGTGTTGAGGCCCGAACACCAGCTGGTTGTGCTAAATGACGTGATAATGCAATAAGTCTGCTGTGCCAGAGAGAAAACACAATCAGAGAGTGAGAGTGGGTCCGAAAGAAACAAAGTAAGAGAGGAATGAAAAAAAACTTAAAGCCAAAGGAAGAACAGAAGGTTAAAAAGTCAGAGAGTTTGAAGTAAAAATTGAGGTTTATTTGGGGAGAAGAAAAAAAGAGAAGAGCCTTAGTGCAAGCAAGGACAGTGCTTCCTTAATTGTGGTAAAGCTGCACGCTGAGTCAGGAGTGTGTCGCACATACTGCAAAGAACTGCCGTCACACAGGGCAACTGCATGTATGCATCCATTGATGGAGTGTATGCAAAAACAAATGTACAAGCATGCAGAGACAATCCCTTGGGCGCACACACGCACACACACACGCACAGAGGTTCATCGATCCATTGCACTTAGCATGCTTGTTCCAGGAAGGAGTGGGGTGAGACAAGGCAAAGGCAAAACCTGAGATGCCTAGAGGATACAGCTAGTAACACCAGTGGAAATGTCAAAAGGAAAACTTGACTGACCGTTTCTATTCAAAGTTTTCTAACTACCACTTGAAGATAAAGGGCAATTAATCATGGATACACACAGCAGAAAAGAGAAATGAAACATCCTGAAACATGCACAGGACTCCGTAAAGATAAACACCTGTATTTTTCTTTAGCCAAGTGGATAATAAGTCTGTTGAGCATGTACCCATTTCCTGCTTCCTCCTTCCTTTCACTTCCAATAAATATGTTTAAAAATGAAGCACTTCGCTGTTTTAGATTTACAGTGGGTGATCTGAATCAGTTCACTTGTAATCGGTCAGAAAAAAATCAAACATTTGGCAACATATTGCAAAGCGGACAATCTATACACACTATCACCAAAATAGAGGCCTCCGTACACGGATTTTGTTTGGAGTAGCTGTCGAGGTGCGTTTTGCCTGGAACTGTTCCAATAAATGCCGTTGCCATCTCAGTTGGAGATGCAATCAATTCCTGCTCTGATTATAGGGTTATGTGAGTGCAGCAGTGATAAAAATGAGGCAGTGACTCATAGCACAGGAGGGAGGAAGAGAGATACTGAGACTAAAGAGTGAGTAAGGACACAAAGAGGAAGATGAAATGAAAGGGAATGCAAGAGGAAGAGAGAACTAGGAAGACAGTTGGAGACTGTACATGTGAAACAGATCAGAGACAGCTCTGTCACAGAAAGTGAGGGAGAATGAGAAAAGCGATGTGATACAGAGGAAAAAAACTCAACGTTGATGCATGTCTGAATGATCATAGGACTCCTCTAAAAATCACATAAAAAGCCCCGTCTGATTAAAAGTAGAACACAGAGCCAACATAGTTGAGCAACTGCAGCAAGCAAACATGCGGCCCCTCACAAAGCTAAGACCTCCCATAGCTAAGCCTCGATTTATCCGATCCACAGATAACCGTAAGACCTGCTAAAGTGCTTAGGGCCTGACTGTATTCCACTCAGCTAAGAGCGCACTAAGCAAGCAAATTCTATTACACTTCTGTAAACAAAGCGTTTGGTAATGAAGTTTTTTCCAGCATCTATAGTACATTTGGTGGAGGAGATTACTTCGTATTAATCGAGCATTCATGCCTTTTTGCAACACTTAACAAGTAAACAACCATACCCTGCTGAACTCTGAGCGGTGTTCCTGTTGGTTAGACAGGCTGCAAGCAGCAGTAGAGGAAGGGAAAGGTCGTACTTTATTAAGCCAGCTGAGAGTCTAAAAGTAACAAGCATGTCTCTCTAACCTCGAGGACATCATTTCCTGACTAGGTTAGTGGGTGGAAGTGCATGTTACACTCCAGTGTGATGCACACTATACTTCCTTTTGACATCTATTGTTAATATTGGCTATAGTTTTAGTGTTGCTCACTTATTGGCGCTAATAAAGCACAGGTTCTTGGCTTTGCTATTGCTGTATCATTTGTTTTTTTGTGTGCATTGCATGCATCTCCATTTCTTGTATTTTGAAAGACGTATGCAGTTACGTAATGTTGAAGTTAATAGTGATTTACAAGCACATGAAAGTCTTACCACAAGCAGTGAATCAGACATGATGGTTCCCTTACTGAGCCTTACTGCTGTGTTGTATTATTATCAGCATGCTAACTGGTTTATTAGGGATGTATGATGGTTAATATTGTAAGCATCTCAATCTGAACAGTGTTGCTTTCGCCATCGCTGCTGTTTTTTTGGAGAGTGTCATCTAGACACAGCCTCAGCACTGAGATCTCATTAGTCACAGTGAGAAGACTAGAAAAGGAATGGGAGCAGTGGCCGATCATGAGACAAAATGTCACTTCTGTCCACATGTGTATACATGCAGTGAATTCCAATAGCATTCACCTCATTTGACATTTTACACTACTTGTCCTAATATATTCAAAAGTTCAAATCATTTACCAAAACTCAGGGGATTTAATGAATTTTAACTCCAGATGTCACAAAAAACAATACTTTTGTTCCAAGTTGATGCCAAAATTTGGAAAATGTGACAGTACTCCGAGGGTGCAAAACTTACCAGCTTGAAACCCTAACACTGTAACTACTTAATATGTGTAAACTCTAGAGCAAATGTATCTTGATAAACAACTAGCTAGCATTACCACCTGTTCATCGTTCTTATCTCTAATATGGACATAGCTAACTGAATGGCAGATGATCTGTGTAGGGGTGTTGTACTTTCAAAACACAGGGACATTGACTGGAGACTTTCCAGAATACAGTGCACAGAGCTTAGTGTACCACACAGTTGGCATTACTGGCCAGACATGCCGGTATCTCTTTACAGAAACCACTGAGTGTATGTGTGTTTGAAATTGATTTTTCTCTTGCCTTGGTAGTCAATAGAGGGTTTCGATGCCCCAAGGATTCTGGGAGTGGCCGAGCCCATGTCCAGTTCTGTCAGGGTTAGCTCATTCATGAAGTAAGGCAACTGAAAAAGACAAAAGCATACAACTGAGCACACTGTACATGAATTATTCATTTATAGATTATGACATAACCAAATTGGAAAAAGGAACTGTAGTTCACAACCGTGTATATTTCCAAGTGTATACAGAATGCCAGCTTGAAAAAAAAATGGACAAAAGGACACACAAACCATGAAATAAATACAGGCACACTTATGCACATACACACTTAAGCATAGATGACACGCTCTGCCATCAACCACACCTTATAATCAACTGTCTCTACAAATCAGTCCCCTGTGAATTGAACTGTGCACAATCTTTTTCTACCATCTGATGAGACTACAACATTACCTACAGTCTCACAGACCAAAACACAATATACAGGACAGGATCAGAAAAAGGAATAGGAGTGAAGGATGAGGTTTCTCCCTCAGCTTCTCAACCTACTGTGGGGCCTTTAAAGAGCTGCACAGAGATACAAAATGACATTTGGAGAGTTATCTGTGTGTGTGTGTGTGTATGCTCTGTGTGCTTCATCACATCTTGTTTTCAGCAGGAAGGTGAGCATGACTCCTTCTTTAAGTTTTTCTCTCTGTCTGTTCAAATTTGACCACTTTTAGAGTGAAAGGTTGTTAGGTACCTTGCTCCACTCACCCGTATCTTGCTGAGCTTCATCTGAATCTTCTTGGAGACCAGTTCAGCCCAGTAAGGCTCACCCAGGAAGTCCCAGAAGACCCGGCCGAGAGCTGCATTCACCCAGGCAACATTTTCCTCCTCTTCCTCCTGCTCCTCCCCACTGGGCTGCACCTGAGCTGAAGTGGTGCTCTGAAGCTAAAGATGTAGCAGGCAAGTTAACATTATCAGGAGACGCACAGGATTCTAAAATGTTTAACCCCTACAATACAAATGATTTCACCCCTCTATATCTCTTACAAGGATAAGACACAATATCAGCTTCTTGTTGTTTGTAATAGTAATAGTATGCGCTACCTTCTTATCAGCCCCAGGGCTGCTCTGAGGACTCAGGAGAGCAGGGCTGGCAGCTGAAGGGCTGACTGCTGCCTGTTTTGGCAGTATGGAGGCCATGTATACACTGTAGTCCAACAGTGGCTTGGTTTTGGTACTGCCTGCTGCTGTTGTTGTTGAGGAGGCTGAGGTGTCCTTTAACCTGGGCTGTGATGCCAGTGCCTCATCCAGACTTCCACGGCTGCTGCTGCGACTGTGAGAGCTCAGAGCTGTGGGCCACAGTAAGAATCAGAAAAAGGTGAGGAATTAGATACTGGACTCACAGTTTTAGCTGCCTCTAAACTACTAAAACCTTAGATTGGAAGTGTCATTTCTCCAGCTATATAGTGTATGAAAATAGACAATTTTAGCCTTTAAAAACGCGACAAATGAAGAAAAAAATCTCACCATTCTTAGTTCCAGCAACACTTGAAGCTTTCTTCAAGTCTGCCTTGAGCTTGGAAGCTGATAGAAACCGCTGGAACCACTCCTCCTTCTCCCTCCCAGTCCTTCCAAACAGATAGAGGGTCAGGTCTCTACTGGATGAAGATGACCCTCGCTCCTGTGCTCCTCCCGTCCCCTCTCCTCTGTCCCTTGTGTTGGCGATCTCACTGGCCTCCCACCTATCACCCTCGGCCTTTGACATGAAGTCATCCTGTTTGCCAAGTTCAATGCAGATGGGGTATTTTTTGTTCCATATACGCTTCCTGGCCAGGCTCTGGGGCAGTAAATATACCTGGGGGAGGATTATGGAAGACAGACCTGAGTCACACAAAGTTGGGTTTCAACAGATGTAATGCATTTTTAAAGACTATTTGAAGACATAAAGGACAATTTCCATGCTGTCATTATGTTAAATATTACATTGTTTGGTGAATAACATATTCTGATGAACTAGCCTTGGACAAGACTTATATAGACTTACATGTCTGTAAACTTGTTTTATATACACACAATACAACTTAACGTACTTTGCTGTTGGTGAGGTCATAGATCTTCTGACTGATGTAGGTGACATCGGGTTTTGGTTCATTGTGTGTAGCACGGCGGGCAATGTTGTGGTTGGGTTTAGACAGACGAATGATGGAGCCCTCCAACCGAACGAACACAGACTGCGTCAAGGTGGCATGGTATGTCTCTGGGTCATAGTTTGATATCTCATTCATCCAGGTCTGGAGGGAAGACATAATCATTTTACATAAATGTAAAAAAAAAAAAAAAAGTCATAATAGAGAACTGTTTTAATTGTATGTACCGCTTTTCTGCATCTGAAGAGAAAAGAAATTTGTTTAAACAACTACAAACATAAAAAAAATTTAACAATAAAAAACTGGGCTCAAAACAATTTTTCAAAGTTTCAGTAACTCGCATCATTTTGTTGACTCACTCTGGCCCACCACAGAAGTTCTGCTACTTGTTCCCTGCACTTGTATCTGAATAATAAAATTGCAATCATCCTAGGTGTTTGGCCACAGTCAGTTTTCATTATTCTGTCAGTCATTGGTTACAGGTTCTTGTTTATTTCCAGCTGTTTGATCAATAAACTGCAGTGCAAATGCAAACCTGTTTCTGATTGGTATACAGCTATTTAAATTCATGGCCACACACACTTTGAATATAATTATTATTTAGCCTTTATCACATATTCAAAATAAAAAAGTAAAACAAATAGGGAGGGAACTATTATTATACTGACACACCACACCTACTGACTGCCTGCACATGGCACAAGAAGAGAGGGAGAGACCCCGGTGCTGTTGGCAGAAGACACGTGGACTGTGATCACTCCGAATGAATTACAATAAAATATAATTAGAGTTGCATATTCTCTGACTGTCTGAATAAGTTTAATTTGTCGCTAGTCACTTTTTAGAAATAAAATTGTGTGAGTGTCTGAAAAGTCTCTAAATCTAGTCAGAAAGTCACCAATTTGGCAACTGGTCTTTCTATGGCTCATTTTGTGTGTGCATTTGTGTCCCAGGTGCTATTTTTATTGTCCCCGGAACAATAAAACTTAAATGCTCTGAAACTTTACTTGGAAAATGAGGACACTGCAAATATTTGCTCACAGTGGGTTGTTGTCATCATGTATCATGTTTCTACAGTGATAGAAAAGGTTACCTGTCTCTGCACACTTCACACTGATAAGAGAGCAACCACTGTCCTTTTAAGTGGAGAAAAACTTTGTTGCTGTCATTTGCTTTCTCTAGTAGACTTTGAAGTTCTTCTGGCTAAATTCTACCCAGGATCCACATCTACTTTATTTACCGTGCTGTTACTTCAATGCAAAAGCTGTCACAGAAACATGCATCTGATAGTACATGTTTGCATTTTTCACAGCAGTCCATTCCATACAGCTGGACACAGCGCCATGTTTGTTATATTTATATATATCATTTTTCATAATTTAAACAAAACATCACAATTCTGTGGTATGTTGCTTTAATGTATGCATTTGGTGTAGTACAGTGGTGCATAGTTTAGCACTGTAAATTGTAATTTATTTCTAAATTGTAGATAGATGTGACGGTAAGTATAAATACTTGCTTGTCTATGGTGCATTTATTAGCCCTGTGATAGACTGGTGACCTATCCAGGATGTACCCCAACTCTGAGTGCTGTGGTAAGCCCCAGCCCACTATGATCTCAGTGGATGGATGGATTGATTGATGGATGTATGTTCTATCAAACATTGTGGCAAAATAGAGGATATTTTACAGAGCTCTCAGTCAGAATTAGCCATGAACTGTTTTCCATGAAATGCTCATGCAGCAGGATGTGTGTGCAGAGATGCCATAACGTGATCTCTTATGTGGCAGCCCTGTTAAAAAATATTGTTTTGGCATATCAACACTTTAGAAGTCCAAAGTAACCAACAAGCATGGCAAAATGAATTAATTCACTGACCTTATAGATGTCTGGTTCCTTAATGTCCAACGTGGTCATATTCCACTGCTTCCTGCTGTGTCTGGAATGTCTAAATCTACTACCAGAAGGTTTTGGTCCTGTCAGCCACACAACACCAATAGCTAAAAGGAATCCCAGCCCAATCCCAAGCAGCATTCCTCCTACATAACTGGGCAGGGGTAATACAAAATACCCATAGACCAGCCCAGTAAGGATGATGAGAGTATAGTGTGGAACACTAGGTGCCGGCTCAATACTTTCAGATTCATCTTCACTGCATGGTTCAGTACTACCACTTAGTGGCACTTTAGTTTGACTCCCAGTTCCAGTATCATCAGTTCTATCGCCGCCATCACCTTCTGTGTCAGTACAAGTCTCAAAGTCCTCACTGTTCAGGATGCAATAGTCGTCATCTTCTTGTTTGGCAAGAGTGGACATAGAGCACTTGTTCAATGACATGGACAGTAAAGACGATTTGTTGGGGCTCTTAGTGTCAACAAAGAGGGGAACAGGTGATTCAGCTCGACCAGAAGCCTCGCTGTTGGGGCTCTCAGCCTCCCAGTCACCTCCTTCTTCCTCCTTAATGCAGTAATTGTTGTTGCTTTCCAGGTGACCGTTGATAGCAGTAATATTAGAGAGTTCTGTGGCACTGGCAGAGAGGGCCTTGGGCCGGTAAAGGCTGCTGCCAACTAAGCTGCCACTTTTTTCATCCATGATCTTACTCAGCAATTGAAGCGGTTCTGAGATAGCCTCAGAGAGACGGCGCTTAGTGTCTTCAAATTTTGCCTCGACTTCTGAGACTTTGAAGAAGCTGCGGTTATCTGGTGAGGTTAATGGCGACGAAGGGGCAGTTTTAGAGTCACCAGCTGACGACTTGGTAGCAGACGGCATCCGGGATTGTGTGAATTGCTTGAAGAGTTGCAGGTTAAGGCGGGGTTCTGGAAGACGGTAGGGTGTGGAGGAGGATGAGTCCTGGGATGTATCTGATGATAAAGATTTGACGAGAGTCTTCATCAGGTGCCTATGCCTTACTGTAGGAGCAGCAGCAGAAGGGATCCCATGAGACTCTACGTCAGACGAGAAAGACTTCACTAAGCTGAGGAAGGGTCTGTCACTGGAGGGAAAGCTCGAAGATTTAGTAGGAGAGGATTGGGAAGTTGAGCCTTTTTGCTCAGCAATACGTGATGACAGAGTTTGTGTGGGAGAACTTTTAGTGTGATGTGTAGAAACTGGAGAAAGTCTGGATGATTCAGGAATGACAGCAACCTCGGCTGCAGAGTCCAACGGCACCCCTTCGAACATCTCTTCACTGGCTTCTAAGGCTGTCACAATGTTTGAGTCATCCTGAGCGGCTGAGGTAGTGGAGACAGTTGTCATGTACAGCTCTTCTTCCTCCTCCTCCTCTTCCTCCTTCCCAAAAGCTGAGAAGTGGATGGTGATGGTCTCCGTTGACGGGGATCGCTGCACATGGAGCTTGGGGGACACAGCAGGTGGCTGTTTTTTTGTGGAGTGAGCACTCTCTGCATGGCTAGGATGCCGGCTAGTCATTGCAGTACGCCCACTGAGTCGCAGTCTGCAAAGAGGGAAAGAGATGAAACTAAATTAGGGCTATGGTGATTAGTCGATCGACAGAAAAGTAAATCCAACCAACTATTGTTGGTAGTAGTAGTAGTAGTATTTTGTTACATGCAACAACAAAAAAATTGCTTTCAGTGAAAAGGCTATGTTGGCTGTTTTGTTGGCTGTCCATGGGGAGTTTTGTGTACAAGCTTATTACTATACTGCAGTCTTGCAAATTAACAACAGCTATCTAAGCAAATGTTAAAAATGTTTTGACTGTTAGTTAAGGAAGTCATTTCTCCACATCACTTTGTGATCAGCCATCCCTTGGCTCTAAAATCGGCCATTTACATTGGTAAAAACAGTTGCTATTGTTGATTTGGGGTCATTGGGAATTCTGTGCGTTTTGTAACATAAAGACTCAAAAATGCCCGAAAGTGCTGCTACTTCTGCTCATAGAATTTGCTGAGCTGACTATAAACCACACAAACCTATGAGTATATATATGAGTCAAAATGTCTAAATCCATCACAGATTGCAAGAAAAATTCAAAGGGGCACACAAAAACAGAGGTGGTAATATAAAAATTCCAAAATATAGAAAGGGAAAATATTATAAATCATACTATTAAAAGACAAGCCTCAATGCCAATAAATTACCGAGTCACTACATTATGTCTTACTATATTATGTTAATTATGCTATGTGCAGACAAAATGCAAAATGTGCATTTGCCTTTGTGCCCATCTGGGTGCTGACAATCGCAGTATTGTATCTCTAAACCAGTTGGGTTGTATCAGACTTCAGTTCAGCAGCAATCAGGCATTTTAAAACACCACCCACCCAAAATACTGCACTTTGTCAGTCACATAAAATTAGCTGTGAGCTCTAGCTGTTGCATATTACTTACTTGTCTTGTAACTATGAAACCTATTTTAAACCTTTGCCAAACATCCAACAATTGCCACAATGTTTCCACAGTCTTGACTGTGTTTATAACATAATTATACTGTGTGGCATTACAACATAGCCTTCAATGGCCCATTTCCAGAGACAACAGACATCACCCGAAGTCCAGATAATAAACGGATGTTGGAATGACGTAACAGTGCATAATGATGCTGTTTGTAAGGTGCCACAACAAGATGCCCGAAGTATCCTGAGTTTATTTGTATGGGTCAAAAGATCCAACCTTACAAAGGGTACATTAATAAAGTAGCCCATAGAAAAGCTTGATGACATTTTACATTATGGAAAAGCTCACCCAATTATTAAGGGGACTTTTCACATCAAAGTCTCTTTACAGGTCTTTGTCAGTACTACTGCATATGAAGAAGAGTTGTATATAGCCTTTTAGAAATCTGAGAGCCTCAAATGATGTCACAGCGAGTGTCAATAGTGTAACAGCTTTAGGCCATGCTGCTATGATAGTTTACAACCAAACCATTTAGAGACATCATACTATGGCTTACTATAATGATTTTTCTGAAACAAAGCTTTCAGTAGAAGATATTTTTAAGTTTGTTGGGAAAAGATCAGTTCAGCGCTAGTAAAGTACAAGGAAGCAAGTGTACCACTCGTAGTCTCCGTGCAAAAATAAGAATGTGTGTGTTCAGACTTGCAGATCTCTGAATTTAAATGCATTCCACCTATAGCTATGAACTGTGTCTCCAAATAAGCTGCCCAATGTAATGCAGAACAATGTGCTTATGATGGAAAGGAATTCCTTCTTAAGCTAAAACACCTCCCCATTCCCATTCAAAACATAGTATGCGGCTTTTTGCCACAGCCAAAAGACATCTTTGGCATAAACAACATACAATTATTGCTTGGTGAATTTAATATTTGGAACTTCATAGCTGTATATAAGTTACATTTTCTGAACTGTTGGAAAAATTATGCCAGGACGTACAGTATGTGGCAACACAATGTGATCAGACTGTTTGCATCTATGTGACATCCTCTGGTAGCGAAAATAGAGTTATGGTAATGTCTTGGTGACATTTGGCAATGGCATGCTTGTGCCTTGTCTGGACAACAGAGGTGACATGAGGTCATGCTGGCTCACTCATATACAGACTCAACTTGGCCACTCATTGTCACATGGGTCACGAGTGAGCTTGTTACCCAGCCAGGCAGCCTGCCAGCCACCTCTGTCCCTAGCTAGCCAGCCTTCAGTCAGCAGCAACACAATGAGGCCACTCTAGTGGATCACCAGTTGGACATTTGATTTGATTTCATTTTAACATATGAGACTCAAAGGACCTAGCAGTATTTGCTAACAGCAGCACA